CTGAGAGCCACAGTGGTGAATGCTCTGTTAGGTTATGCATTAGTTAATACATACATAGTCAATACATCAGGTAAATAAAGTGTACCCTATTGCATAAAACACCTTAAGAAATTCATCCTAACAGTTGTTTTCCCTTGTTTAAGAAGTGGCAGCAGTGCAGACCTCCATGGACACCAAGAAGACAGTACCTCCACAACTACTAAAGGTAAATCCAGTCAGTCATACCTCTGGAGTGACTTTGTATCCATCTCTTTGGACACAAAAGAAGCACCAAGACGACGTCATTTACTTTTTGTACGTGACATAAAAACAGCTCTTTCCAAAATGTTTTACAGTATTCACATAAACATTGGTTTTAAATAACATATACTTGAGTTGGATATATACAAGGTGGTGAGAGGTTTGTGTAATTTGAGAAATAAAATAAGTTACAAGTGTATAAATAATTTACTAAGTGCTGAAATGGACCAAAGGGCGTTCAACAGTGGAGTCTTTTCTTCAATGTCAGTGGTTCGCCAGAGTTACTCTACAGACAAAGAAGAGAAAAGTGTATTTGTCAGCTTTGATAGTAATGTTAGTAGTACTCTGGAAAACTGCAGAGGGTAAACTTACCTTTTTGGAGTGCGTTTTGAGTTCATCCTCCACACATCTTTACATTTAACAAATGTGACCTCTTGTGTTAAGTTCAGATTTTCAGGGTCTTTTACACAGAACACCATCCTGAGAAAGAAAATTAAACAATTAACCCTCATCTTGTCACTGATTAAGCTACTTGAGTAAGTTCTCATACAGATTACAGGTTGAAACTGTGCACTCCACTTCCACTTGAGTTGTCACATTTCCAAATAAAAATGTATTTTTTCCTCAAAATAGGACAACTTACTTTTGTTGGGTCTCGCCGGCTCGGATGCGGATTTTGTGAACCTCCATGTCAGAGCTGTCTGAGTCACCGGACCACCAAGAGGAAACCATCTTCAACATGTTGGAGGCTGACCAACTGTTTGTCTCCTCCCATTTAAACTTCAACATCAAGAGATCTCCGATATCCGTCTCCGTCACTAGCAGGAATGAGTGAGTCTTATTTGTCGATATTTTCTCCTTTCTGCCAGATAGAAACAGAGACAAGTGTTAGTGTTCTACTCCTAGCCAGCAAGAATATTTTATTTAGCTTTGTCTCGTAAACTCTGCATCATAAACCATGATATAACCACACATAGCAAGAGAATAAACTTGGTCATGTCTGGGGTCTGCTGTTTATGGTTTCTAGCTTGTGCGGTTTCCCTAGACTACTTACATAACAACTCTTATGACTTGAAGGATGCGAGTCACAGTCCTGTAATTCTCTTTTATGAAGGTTTTTAACCCCTTGATGCCTGAATTTATTTACAATTATATAAGAAAATCTATTATTTTTGTTTTCATTTGCTTTCAAGCTGATGCAAAATTAAGTGGAGATTGTTTATTTGTCTATAGAACAAATAGATACATTCAGGTATGATGTAGGTATGATGCAAATTAGCGATAACATGCAAGAAACCAGTGCTTGCAAAAGGTTCCTAGCTACGTATTGAATATGCACAAATAGGCATTGGAGGAATAGATAATCTCGCCTGCAATCTAGTCGGTGTTAAGGGGTTAAATGGCCCACTTACAGTTTAAGCTCCAGGTTTTCAGCCTCCCCTTTTGTTCCATACAGTGAGACAGTGAGTGAAGGCTCCATCTCTGAACGATTCACCTTACTGGAGAAGTGGATCTTCAGCTGATAGTGGTACACTGTAGAACAAGAGAGCATTTAAAACAAAACATTAACATGTGCATGTAGGCTGCTGTAGTGAAGCTGCTGCAATTTGAATGTAGTTGGTTTGGCAAAACTAAGCTTCTTCAAACACTTTTTACAACAGTTTTTCAGAATTAGCCATTAAACCTTGTTTTTGCAATATTAGTTAAGTAACTCTGGGTAAAAAAGCACAACGTCACACAAACTGAACTTTCCACTTGAAAAGTAAAAAACAATGCTTCCTATTCTCTATTGATAAAGTCACTGCCACTGACCTCTAAAAGGCATGGAGGCGCGCGTCTTTGTGTACATCTGAACGTTGCGTGCCTTGCGGACCTTGCTGATGTCGTAGCCCACTGTGTTGCAGCGGCTTTTGCGGCAACTGAGACACATGCCGCGGTTAAACATGTCGTTGCTGCCACATCGGTAGGCCTTGGCTGCTTTCTGCTCATTCAGCAGAGAGTCGATGAACAGGTGGACTGAGCGCTCGTGTTCACACTTCACTGCATCAGTGATAGCTGGAGAGGAAAGAGGGAATGATATTTACACATGCATAAATTATGTCAGTTTGTTACATGTCCATTTCTTTACTGACCACACTCCATATGCATTTACTTTACCTATCAACCAAGATATTGTATCTGACCTTTCAGTCATGTTTGGGGCCCTGCTTTTTATTCAGGGCAGTGTGAATGGAGTCCATTGTGCAACTGACAGTAACAATGTTGGTCACTGGTAAAATAGTGATATTGAAGATGCTGGACTATGTGCTCTGTGTGAATACTAGTAATCACAAAAATATGCATTGTGACCTAACAGTCGGTTATGATGGCTGCACTGTATGTTTTAAGTATGTAGCAGAAATGTTGAATAATGCATTATGTGAAGTAAATATACCTGAAAAAAAAAAGAATTGTGGCATAATATTCTGAAAATATTTTTGCTGATATGACAGTAATATATATCACAAACTGTTTAGTTACAGATATAGCCATAGCTGCAGTCATTTAGTTTAGTTTAAAAGGGATAGTTTGTGTATTTTGAAGTGAGGCTGTAGAGGTTTCAAAGATGCTTCATGCTTGTGTTATTCAGAGCTGTGCTGCTGTAACTGATTCAGACAGCAGATATGCGGTATCATTCAGTACACATCGCAGCTGGGCTTATGCGTAGGAACATCTAAGATCTATGGTAAGTGCCAAAGTGAAAAAAAGGGTCTGACTGCAAGGTAAAGCAGTGAAAATATTTCTAATAAAGTGTATACTTAAACTGATGTGGCTAAATCAGTTTTTTTGCTGGTCCCTGTCCACAGCAGTGCATTGCTCGGCTTCCCTGACGGGACTTTGCCTCTACAAACTAGGGGCAAACTGACCGCCATCTACTGTAGGTAATACACTGACTATCGATAAATAAATCAAGCAACCTCACTTCACAATATCCAGACACTTGCTTTAAATTTTTACATTTTAAAGTTATATATGATTTTCCTCACCAAATATCCCAAAGTTGGCAATCTTTTCCAGGGCTCCCCTGAGGTTGCAGCCTGGCTGGAAGCTGCCTCCGTTGGGGTAAATGTCTACATGTCCAACAGGCTGCTGGATCCCGATGCTGAGACCAAGGGAGCCCCGTGTGAAAGTGTGGAGGACGTCCACAAAGTGGGCGTCATCAGGGGAGAGGCGCCTGTGGGCGTGTTCCCCCTCAAAGTCAGGACCAGCTGGGTCCAAACCTGCAGACAAGAGACAGAAGTGAAAGAGGAAATTAACCAAAACTCATAATTAACTGGTCTTTATATCAAATGTTATGTGTCAGAATGTTCCGTTTTGTTTACCAGTTATTCTTCCGACTTTATTTGTTGCATGGCTTCCAGCAAATCCAGCCACATGAGCCCCGAGGCTGTAGCCAATCAGGTGGATGTTCTCCAGAGGCATGTTGGTGGTTTCCTTTAAGGTACATAAATGAAAAGGTGATTTAAGATAGCGATGAGACAAGTACTCCCTTTCATTGATAAACTGAATTGATAAACTATTTTTTACAGAAGACGATTCTTTTAGACATGCTTTTGTATCAGAACACCAGTATTATACAAGACAATATACTAAGACAGGATCTATAAGTTGTCACTAAGCGTCAACCTCCGGAACTGAAAAATGTAGCCAGTGAGGAAGTGCCAAAAACTGCAGATCTTTGAATGGCCATTTGAAGCTGGCTTCAAAAGCCAGTCAAGACCCCCCATGTTAAAATGCCTAACATCACAGTAGAAATAAATGGTTTTGGTAAAAACATTAGGTATGTCATATATAATACAAATTCATTAATAAATGTCTTTTTGGCCCCAGTGTTCTTGCGTCACTCAAAAAGAAATGAAAACCTTTACTAACTTCCCCTTTTCAATGAAAAGCAATTAAAAATGCATCAAAATAGATAGTAATGGTTGTTGCATTGTGGAATGAAACTTGTGAAATTATGATCCCACTAACCTCAATCCAGTCAATGAAGCGAGCGATCTCCTGTCCCACTGCTTTGGTGTTGTGAGCTGCCACCACATAGTGGTTCTGTGCCGAGGTGAGCCAGTCCACCACAATGACGTTAGCTGTCTGCTCCCTTTCATATAGCGCTGACACCAGCTTAGCCATCCAGCTTTCAAACATACCGCTCAACTGTTGAAATGACAAAACATTAAACTCAGACAAAGCAAGGTCATTAGTGCTGATGAAACTGGCATTAATTAAACTTTAAGTAAACTTTAAACTAACATTCAGGAAGAATTAGCTGAGTGGCCATATTGTAAAATCAGAGCCCCCTCCTGTCCTGTTCATCTTAAACTCATTTTCTTTGGCATTAGCTCAAACATGTTGTTGCTTGTCAAGAAAGTTAGTTATGTGAATTTGGCTAGACTTCATGGCACTGGAATTTGGCGAAATAATGACACCCTACGAGTCACAGATGTTAAACCAAAACGGAGTAAAGTGAACAAAGCCCCTGGGTGTTGTTAGAGACAGGGGCAGGTCACAACAGGCTGAAGCATCTCAGCTCACCGTCCATCCATGGATTATTAGGAAGGTTTTGGAGGTGCTGTTGAAGGTGCAGGCTGCCAGGGAGTCAAGTTTGCCAGGAACAATGTAGCACAGGTCGTCATCGGGTTGAGATGGTTTGCGGAGGGAGAATTTGGCAAGAGTTTGATTGCTGTCATCCTTGTCTTTCAGAGGGTCGAGGAAGTTACCTGAAAAAGAGGAAGATTAACAAATTAGCAGTGGGGTTTCTTCTCTTTAACAAATATCAGAAGAAAAGAGAAATTCCTATGTCTAGCTGGTGTTTTGTCAGATGTGTAAATCTGATCCAATGTTGAGGCTGGGCAGTCCGAGACACCTGACTACCTAACTGAGTGACTGGCTGCAATAAGCACTGGCCCCTGAGGGGCCCCTCAGAAAATGAGCATCAGTCCTCAGGGGGTTACAGAGGTTCAACTGGTTAGACTGAGCTTCTTATAAAACACCAGGGAGTTTTCCCCAGCTTTGTCCCTGCCACATCACCCAGTATAATCTGCCCAAGTTTCAGTGGTCCTGACACAGTCAGCTGACTGGTTTTCAGAGTGGGGGGTTGGGAGGTCATGCAGAAACCACACAGACATTTATAAGGCTTACATTATGAATGGGCTGATGCAGTTAAGAGCCATATTGTGAACATAAAGGATCATAATTGCACTTGGATAACTCAAATCATGTTGAGATCATTTGGCAGCCTGCAGATTTTCCACACTTTGCTGCTCTCATCCTCTCTAACGGTGAACAACAAAACATCTCTCACAGCCCATAGCAATTAGTAGAAGTTGGGTATTCGCCATAACGCACAAAGACATGTTTGGTCATAAACACGTGATACATCGTATCTCATAGATATGTTAATGTTAAACCACACCATCATTGACAATTATTGCTTATCAACTGGACACAGTTTCTTCATAGGAGACTCTTTCACCGCGAGTAACTTCACGGGTAAACTAACTCAAATACTCCAGTTTTTGCACAAAAGTATGTTGGTGTGTGTGAGAGTAATGATGAAGTTCAAACTGGCAACTCACCAAAAATAGAATCGGCGAGCTCTTCTTCCAAGGACGTCACATACTGCACAGCGGCACTCAACACCAGAAAGTACACAAACTGAAGTCGCCGCGCGTTCATTTCTTTTACAGGCTTTTCCTTTTAGAGAAGATGTCTTTGACACTTAATTAAATCGATCAGCTCTCGCAGCAGAAGCGTGTATATAACCCTTGTAAAAATCCAGTGCCTCCTGTCCCTGTGGCGTAGAGTCCTGATATCTGAACCACCTTAAGCTGACCGTGTTTTAAATAGCACCTCTGACAAGGCATTGGCTGCTTACCAACGGGCGGGGGATGGAAAAATATGTGTAAAGTAAATCATTACACTGCTTTATGAGAAGAGCTAACAACACTGGTTGGCAGCGTTGCTTATCATTAAAGCCAGCAGAACTTACTATTGATGTTTCTATGTCTCTAACACATTATGGCATATTGCAGTAGCCTACTGCATGTTGGGCTGATTGCTCAACTGATTCATTTGTTCACTGAATAATTACTCTGAGCTGATTGCTGTAGATCTGACGATTGATAGATCAAAAAGTGAAAAAAAGTAATGATATTTCTTATTTTTAATCTGGTAAAATGACGGTGGTTTGGTAGTTTAAGTGTAAAACAAAGCCATACATTGTGCAGAACTGCACAGGCCTGCATGCTGAAAATGCCCTCCAAAGAGAAAAGTAATAATCATAATACAATTTCATTTATAAAGCAAATGTCACACAAAAAGATACAATGTGCTTCACAAAAGATGTAAAATGCAACAAGAAGAGAAAATAAATATTTTAAAAAAAAAGATTTTTAAGAGACAACAAATTTAAAAGATATTTAAAATATAGCAACAGTTTCTGTGTAAAGCCAATTTCGAAAAGATGAGATCACTTTTACTGTGTCAGATAAAGTTTGGCGTGTGATGCAGGCTGGAGAAGCAGGTCATAAGTGTTTCATGAGAGGACAAACCAACATTATATGTATGTCTTATCTACATGGCTGTCTCTCTCCCTCACATTCCAGGACGCAGGCAGCTTGGCTGAACATGAGGGGCCTCTTAAGAATATTTTGGGGCTCCTTTTCACTGACCTGCTGTCATCATCGCAACAGAGAGCAGATAAGAAAGAGAGAATACAGACGAGACACCAAGACCTGCATCAAGCAATATTCCTTTTGGTATGATGGAAAACTTGCTAGTACCAGCTTTTGTCTTTGTCTATTGTTTAAAAAATGCAGTAATTAATTATGCATTATGAGTCATTAAGGGTACTGAATCAATTTAGCATTGCACTCCTAGACTCAAGGTGAACAGTAAGAAAACTAAAGTATCAAAATCGACGCAGCAGAACCAGAGATATCTTTTTTTTTTACTCTATGCATACATCTTCATTGTCAAAACCTTCAGCCTACATTACCCACAATGTGGGCTACAGAGGTCTGGTGAGATCACTTTCTGACACCACCCCCAGATTTTTATATTTGTAGTTTTTGAAGCCAGGTATGAGATGAACCAGGAGAGGTAAGCAGCGCTCACAACACATACAACACAATGGAGGAGTGGACAGGGGAAACTGTGGCAGCATGTACCTACTTGTACTATTTGATGCAGAATATCTTAATAAATATCTAATATTGGTAATTACTACATATTAGCAATGTATTATCAGTAATAATAATCCTTATTTGTAGAGCACTTTTCAAAAACAAGTTACAAAGTACTTTAACAAGTGTAAAGAATAATACAAAAAAACAAGATAAGAGCATGAAAACATTGAAAAGACTAAAATACAGATTAATATAAAATTAGTAAAATACAATAAAATAAAAGGGATAAAATAAAGTCAAATAAGATCAGGAAAGGCTCTCCTATAAAAGTATGTTTTAAGAAGGGGCTTAAAAGAGTTCACTGACTCAGCTGACCTGATTTCCTCGGGCAGGCTGTTCCAGAGCCTCGGGGCCCTGACAGCAAACGCTCTGTCCCCTTTAGTTTTCAGTCGAGACTCTGGAACAGACAACAGACCTCTGCCCGAGGATCTCAAGGTACGTGCTGGTGCGTATGGGACTAAAAGGTCAGAAATATAACAAGGCGAGAGGCCATGAAGAGCTTTAAAAGTGATCAATAGAATTTTAAAGTCAATTCTAAAACATACTGGGAGCCAGTGTAATGAAGCTAAAATAGGAGTAATGTGGTCATATTTCTTTGTTCTGGTTAAAAGCCTGGCAGCTGAGTTCTGGACAGTCTGGAGTCGATCAATAGATTTTTGGGTTAAACAGGTGAAAAGGCTGTTGCAATAATCCAGGCAGTAATGTAAAAGTAATGTAAAAGTTACCTGCATAAATGAAATATCAGTGCTCAGACTATTAAAATAATGACACCTCAGCAGACTTGGCCAGCGTACCTGGTATTAAGCATCAGCTACATTTGGATGCTGCGTATTACAATTAGCAATCAGTACAGCTCTTGGCTGGCTTGCAATGAAACCTCACAGACTGCTATTAGCAACTTCCTAGTTTGCTTTACTTCACAACTCTGAGCTTTGACCTGCTGCATAGAGAGTTTCACTCACTAACTGGGTAAAATGTTGTTACATGCCAGCTGGACATTATGTGCTAACATTCAGGCAAGAGTAGTTGGCTTCAAAGCAGCTGATTTTTTGCCCAAAACTTCGTACGAGATGCCAAGATAAACTGGGCAGGAGGCCGATGAGGTGATGGTTTAAAAGTTACACGCATGTTGCTGTGAAGGTCAGTTGAACAAAAACACCAGCATAGTTCAATTCAATTCAATTCAATTTTATTTATATAGCGCCAAATCACAACAACAGTTATCTCACAGCGCTTTTCATAAAAGAGCAGGTCTAGACCGTACTCTGTGATGATATTTACAGAAGCCCAACAGTTCCCACCAAGAGCAAGCACTAGGCGACAGAGGCAAGGAAAAACTTCCTTTTAAGAGGCAGAAACCTCGAGCAGAACCATGGCTCAGGGTGGGCGGCCATCTGCCTCGACCGGTTGGGGTGAGAGAGAGAGAGAGAGAGAGAAAGAGAGAGAAAGAGAGTGAAAGAGAGAGAGAGAGAGAAAGAGAGAGAGAGAGAGAGAGAGGGATGTAAGGAGAGAGAGAGGGGAGGGAGGCAGCCTACACAATATACACACAGAGGTACAGACAGCGAAGGTAATGTTGCTATAAACTAAATGAAAAATGGTACAGATATTTATAATAGTGTTAATGGTAACCATCATAATGTTAATGATTATAATAACAATAATAACAATAAGACTAGCAACAATAGTCGTTGCAGTAGAGGGTGTCGAGCAGGAACACGGGGGCAGCAGGCGACCCGCAGCCACAGATCCAGACTCCACAGCTCCAGAGCCAGAAAACCTGCAGGAAGTGATAGGAGGAGAGAGGAGAGGGACGAGAAAGCACAAGACTAGTGGCGCTCGTTACAACAAACCACTGGCATTGTAACTAATTATCAGCTAAGAGTGGGACTGGGAACTGCAAATCTAGTTTTAGCCATGTTAGTGGTGTGGCTTCATGATGGCTGTTAGTTTTCACATCAGTCACTTTACTTCTTGCCTTGGTGGTGTGTTTCCTACCAGTTTTGATTGTCTGCCCTATCCTGATTGGTTTCACCTGTGTCTAGTTAACCTCCCCTCCCTAGTGTATTTTGTCTGTGTGTTGCTTTGTCTCAGTGCCAGTCTTCGTCCCTGTGTCAAGTGTTCCAGCAATTCCTAGTGTTTTGTTCTTTGTGTTTCTAGATATTTATGTCCCTGGACCGTGCCTGCCTTTTGGATTTAGGATTTTGCCTGCTCCCTATTGGATTTGTTTGCCTGTTTGGCTCTGTCTTTGGCAAAGCCTTGGCTGAGGAAGTCCACCATGCAGATATGGAATTCCAATGCCAAGAATATGAGGAAAAGTTTGTGAGCCTGTAATCTTCCTGTCCTGAACCAGTTAACCCACTACCATCCTGATCCTGTCAGTCCTGAGTTGACTAGCTTCCTGCCTGATTCCACCTCCAATGAGTTTCCTTTCTGGAAACCTGGACCTGGCTAGCCCTCGAGATGGTGGCACAAGAGCACCCAAGAGTCTGCCCAGCAATACAGAGGCCCAGGCCCCCAGCTCCTCGTTCACCTTTGTCACCAGCCTCCAAAGGGGTTCCTGCCCATCCTCCACCGCTCAGCATCCAGGCCATCATCCAGAGGTGCTCCGTCCTTAGGTCCTGCCTCCTGGACACCAACCCCCTGGGATATGTGTATGTCTTTTTAACTTTTGTACTGTGTATTGTCCTTTGTGCTGTCCATTGCTGTGTTTGACTATGTCTTAACTTTTGTATTGTCCTGTGTGCTGTCTTTTGTTGTGTTGCTCTTGGACTGCGAAACAGTTGCCCTCTGGGATCATAAAGTTTGAACTTGAACATGAACATACAAACACACAGGCTGTGCTCCCCCAGCAGCTGGTTTCATTAGCTGTTACCTTTCTGTGAACACGACCACATTTTCCTTGAAAAATAGTGACTGCATTTGTTTTCCCACCACTGCTGCTGCAGTTCAGATTCTGTGGTCCTTGTCTTTTAAAGGGGAGAGACTCAGTTGTGGTGACAAGGGGGGGATGAAGATTAGAGGGAATGCCAGAACTCCACAGCAAAAATTTGTTGTTGCCAGCAGTGATGGAAAGCAGACAAGCAGAAACTCCTGCTCAATGTTTGGACATATCTTGAATCTTGTGTGCTTCCGAGACTTAATTCCTACGCTTATTTCTAGGAATGGCACATGATTGCATGTTGCACATGTCCAGATTTACAAAAGAGTAAAGTCTGAGTATTCCCTCATGGTGTGTCTTGTTGATCCAAAAAAACATATTCTGTGAGCAGAATGTTTTAGGGCATAAAGTTCATTCATTGTTTTTTGTACAGCTAGTTCTTATTGAAAGGCTCACACTGGAGGATAAATTTGTTCTTTATTTATTCACTGATCTGAAAACTAAAATGCTAAAAGTCATCTTTGTGGATTCAACAAAACTTGTCCACTAATAACACAAAGTCACGAGTGAATGTTTCCTCAGTGACCACATTGAGAAAAGACCGATGTTCGTATGTATCTTCATCTATGTATGTTCCACTTTGCTAAGTTTGTATTTAACACATCTGTCTCATTCTCATCTGTCATACACAAGTGTTATCGGGGCAACATGATGCTGATAGTTGCACATTACTGGGTGTCATAGACATGTGACTGAATTTCAGTGTTGCACCAGCTGTCAGCAGGTGCAGTGTAAATTTTAACAAAACCTTTTACTGCTTTTGTAATTAGTACTGAGTACTGAAAAGCCAGTGGATCTCAGAGGGCAATAAGAAATTCACAATGTTGATAATTAAAGGGAATAAAGTTATGTTGTGTATTGAGAGATCTTTAAGAAAGGTTCATTGCCAAGTTTGATGATTAGAAGAAGACTGTGATTGTGCGTAATTATTTCTTTAGAATCCCAATTTTTAAAAGGTTTTGGAAAGTCAAGTGAACATTTTTCTTTGGAAGTCTGAGTCACTTGAGGATCTGATCAATTAGAAAAAAAAGAAATGGAAACAGCTGTCCTCCTGAGAAGCAGATAAGCCTTTTTAAGTGTAATCAAAAATCAAAGGGTTAGTTACCTGTAATACAATTTTCCACTTCATTGACTTTGTCCAAATCCTGACTGTTGCTCAATTCCTTTCCTGCCTTTAAACAGTCGAGTGGGAGTCTCTTTCAGAGAAACTAATCCACAAACTAAAAGAATCATCATACAACATGTCTCTTTCTGAGTCATGTAAATGGGTTCTGTGTTACGTAATATGTTTTGAATATTTAGCAATGCTGGCTTTTTGATAACAACCAGCTACAATCCTGTGCTATTAAATGTTGTATGTTGGCTTTAAATGGCTTTGGGTGCTGATCTACAACAACCTTTGTGTTTGACAAGTATAACTGTTAATAGAATTGTAAGCCACGTGGGACAGTTAGTTCAGCTGAACAATATCAATAAAAATGTCGGGCTGGTCACCACTAGTGGCAACGCAGAGAGAGCATTGTTTTGACGGGCGCCTTGCCGGTATAGAGTACACCGTGTCTACAGAGGCTGCGTAGTGAAAGCAGCACATCAGCAGGGCAGCAGTAGAGTCCAACACACAAGTGTTGTAGTTCTACTCATGAAACAGAACTTAAAGCGTAAAACAAGTGAAACATGAGCCTGTGTAAACAGGTGTATTGCTTAAAAACACATCTGTTCTAGCAGATGTGTGTGACATCGATGACAAAAACAGGGGTGAAAGGGCTTCTGTGAAGACAAGCAGTCACATTTAATGCTTGTACCTCAGTTACTGTAGATATGACAGCTTCTCTAGATGTATTCTTGTACAAGCTGCTTTGTTTATCTTGTACTTAATCATCGCATAATGCCATTAAAACTAATTTTGAGTTATTTTATTTGTTTGACTGTATCTAGATACAATGTTCTCAGGAAACATAATTAATTAATCCTTTTAAATGAAGTTTGTCTTGATGTTGGCGTCCAGCAAAAGGCCATGTTGTTACAAAAATATCAGAGGAGTTTATTCTCTGAAGAGAAAAAGTTTCAATCATTAATATTAGGGTTCACACGGATGTGGATGCAAATGAATAGTTTTGACTACAGACTCAGACGTTATCAGGCTCAGTGCAACATCAGTAGTTTGGTCTTGGATTTAAACTCCTGCTTAAATCCGTGTAAGCTTGCGTGTTAGTTGGAAGTTATTTCACACTAGAACCATAAAAATGTGGCTAAAAATGAACATATGTCACGTAACAATGAACAATGCACGCACAAAACAGCCTTTGGAAATGTGAAATGAGGAAAGACATGCATTCAGCATGTTTCTCAGACCTTAAATATACATACTGCATTGTGTTCTGGTGAGAAACATAACAATAAAAACTCCACAGGGTACCTTTTAACTTGATGTTGGTGTCAAACTGCTCAGTGTGGCTTTTGTTATATGTGAGTTTATATGTGATGGGTTGTTTGTTTGAAATACTGCATATCTCATGTCAGAGGACTTGTACAGGAACTTTATAAAACTCCCTTTACAGGAGCTGGAATCATGCCTGTGTTTTCCCTTAGTTGTGAAGGATTAATATATATTAATTAATATAGAAATATGAGAAACATTCCAGTGTCAGCAAAGTACTTTCTAAATCTACATACTGTATACTGTAAGTACGTTTTACTGTGATTAGTTCAAGACGGAAAGAGCAAAATGCAGAATTTGCATAGACACTGATTGAAGTGGAGTGAACCTTGACAATATCAATTCAGCATTTTTGATTACCAAAACTAGTATCATATGGACTATAGTTTAGTATTCAGCACATTTATCTTAAAAGTATTTTCCATCATTCTTCAAGGAGCCATCAAAATCCGTATGCTTCAGTGGCTCTCTCAACGGTATCAGCTGTCATCACTGACATTTAAATATATTTTCCCTTGCTTTCAAAAGGCAGACCTTATATATCCGATCACTAACATTGGATACTGACATATGTGGAAGTTTTTGGCCATGTTTACACACGTTCATTCATGAAATGGTGAGCGAAAAGTTTATCTCCAATGCAGGTCCAAAATCCTAAGATGATTTAATTATTTAATTATTATCTAAAAGCAATTTGAGCAGTCAGGAATATTGAAATACGTGATTTATCTCTTTATTAAACCATCCTGGGCTCTTCATTTATACAGTGCACTGCATTTCAGTTCATAAAAGTAAATGCACTGATCAGCTGGCAAGGAGACCGATTTGATCGCTCTTCCAAAGCCTTGTGCTTAAAATCAGAAAACGCTTCATTTATAAAAAATACAGACCACAATGGAAGCCTGCCAAAATATATTACAGCTTAATATACAAATATATAAATGTACATTCAATAAATACAAAATTAAGTATTCTTGAGATGTATTATGGATATCATGTAGGCCAGTCCATCACATATTACCAAGGCTTGCATGTTTATTTTCATCAATTTTGCAATGTTTGACCTTTCAAAATACGGACATGTTGTAGACTGAGCTTAGTCAATGAGGTAAACCATTGCAGGTGAGACACTATTGACCCATTCATGAAGTAATCAATGAGCACCTAGCCATTACTGGAACATTTAAAAAGTGACCTCAGTTCAATTTAATGATGAAATTACCAACACTAAAAAATGCTTATCCATGTTGGACTGCAATCTCAGTGACCTTAACATCTAAATGGCTGCAGGGGACCTTTTAAAGTGACCAGTGACACAACAACCAAAATCAAAGAACAAGCAAGGCTTCAAGAGATCAGATATTAGCACATAACTCCTGATTTAAAAAAGGTATTTACAAAGACAGGTGTGATTCTCCATTCAGTAGATAGTAAATACTTCTTTGGTCCCTGTTGATTGTTCGCAGTTAGTGGTTAAATAAAGACAAACATTAGGGACAAAATGATCACTTTGCACATTTAACCCCCCCCCCCCCCCCAAAAAAAACCAAACAAACAAAGATGCGCCTAAATTATGCCTATCACTCTGAATCATTTATATATTTACAATAATCCAAGTTCACATTGGCAAGGAATACACACCAGTTCAGGGGTTCAAAATTCATCAGACAGTATAAACAGTACATATAGGCTGCAAAGGCATAAACAAATGATTACAAAGATATGCAGCAAAAGGTCTAATTTGTCAAACGTGAGCACATCATCACAAAGAAACCTGTAACATTTTTCAGCAGCAGAATTTGCAGAGAGACAGGAGAGAGCTCGTGAGCAGACTGATTCCCAGCACTGCGGCAGAGGTTGTGTTGGTTGCACTGGGAGTTGAAGTCATAAGGCACAACAGGAAGAAAATCTGAAAAATGCAGCATTCAGTAAATGTCCAGTTACTTGGAAAGGCTCTCCCAGTGTTGCTGTGTGCAGTTTATCTTTGGCTATGTATGTAGAAATGGATGATGTGCATGATGCTTGGGCGTTTGCGTGTACAAGTGCAACTTCAAGCGTCACTCTGCCCAAAAAGACTGCCCTGCATTTTCAGTTTGTGCATCCTGGAAAGAAGAAAAGACAACAGTGAGCAGGAGAGCTTCTGCTTCTGACGATAGATAAAACATCACAGGGCAGTCTCTTTAGCGTATCATTGTAATCACTGTATTCATTCATAATCGTAGCAGAAAATGTAGAGTTATTTTAAATAGCATAATTCAAATGTAAACTGAATCATTTTATAGATGATTTTGAAATGCATCACTGAATAACTGACAACAAATAACCACTAAAGAGTGGATAAATTATTCAGATGGGACACTCCAGGCTCTTTATAAAGGAAACTTCTCACCAACTTACAATTTCTCTTTACGGTTCAGTTTGTCTTCTTTTGACTTGACAAAGACTGCGTTTTCTCCTCCCCTTTCCAGGTAAGCAAACTCTCCATCCTTTGCACTGAAGATCACCCTGGAATCACATTGTGAAAAATGAAGTCCCCAGTCTAAAGTACATACATGCCACTGAATCTATTCTAGTAAATCCTAGATAATCATATCTTTGTGGCAGTGAACAAGAACTTACTTGGACTGGGTCTCCCCAGACTTGATGCGCAGTTTGCGGATGTGGAACTTGCTGCTGCCCCACCAGTCTGACCAGCTGATGATAGTGTCCTTCTCCCAGCGCAACTTCACAATCATCAGGTCTCCAATGTCCACATCAGTGGTGATGAGGAAGGACAAAGTGGTGTTACCGTTCAGGTCCGGCCTTTAGGGTGAAAGGAAGGGCAACATTCAAAGGTCAGCTGCTAGGATAGGACTGTCCTCTCCATGGAACAATAAAGGCATATGTGTGTGTGTGTGTGTGTGTGTGTGTGTATGTGTGTGACAAATGCAGCACGAGTGCCTTTATGGTATTTACTTAGAGTCAGTATATTTGGAAACACGTGCTGTTTACTTTTTCTCGTAATTTGCACGTGCATGGCTGTGAGTTTTTTGTTGTCACATGATGATGTTTAATGTACGTACAGGACGAAGGGAATGTCCTCCTTCTCTCCGTGGGTTCCATACAGAGAAATCTTCATCGGCTGCTCTGTGAAGCTCATTTGGTCCTTGCTGAAGAAATGCACCTTCACTTGATAGTGGAAAACTAGGAGAGAAGAGAACAGTTTACTGATGGCCTACTGTACTATTTGTCTGGACACACTCTTTCACAGCTTGATGTGTTCCCCAACAACTGGCCTACATCTCTCATACCACTACTTAAAGTTTAATACAAGAAAAGACCTTTCTATGTTTCCTGTCACTGTGACAGTGATGCATTTAAACACAGATCTGTGCTAAATCCTCATTGGTTTCACTTGCACACCCTTATATGTATTCATTACTAGAGTAAATAACCTTTTAATAAACATGCTAATCGTTCAATACATCTTTGAACACCCCTCACAAAGTGTCCAACAATAGGACTGCTGACTTATGCTTCTTAAATAAACTTTTCCATTGCTAGTGTATCCTATGCAACGGTGTCACATTACCTTAGCGTATCCCAAGCCACTAATATACCCATGACCTCTTGTTCATGTGACCTCCTGAATACTTGCTACTTGTTGTCTGCAGGCATTAAGAGTTTCCCTGAGAAGGGTGTGTAGTCTTTTTGCACCAACACTAACTGTAGTGATACAAATCCCAGCTCCAATCAACCACGTCCACAGTAAGTACATTAACAACAGTAACTCACAGACTGAGGATTACTCCAGTTAACATATGAATTAACTTAACTCTCACTAATCCTCAGTACATAAGTACATAAACCCAGCCAGACTTTTCTACAGTAGTTCAATGTATTTCTTCTCTCTTCTTGCATAGCACAAAGCACAAAACAATTGCATCTTTGTGTCTTTCTTTCCCTGATGTTTACCTTTGTATGGCATCATTTCACGGGTCTTGAGGTACATCTTGGTGCTGCGGGCCCTGCGGACCTTGTTGATGTTGTAGCCAAGCTTGTTGCAGCGGTTCTTTCTGCAGCTGAGGCACAGACCCTTGTTAAAGGCCTCTTTGGAGTTACAGCGGTAGGCCATGCTCTGCTGCTGGATGTTCAGCAGAGAGTCGATGAACAGGTGGATGGAGCGCTCGTGGGAACATTTGACAAGCTGGTCCATATCTGCAGCACAAAGAAAGAACAGTGAAAAACCTCTATGTTTTCTCTCAGATGACATCAGGCCACAGAGAATTTTGTCCTTGTGTTTGGCTTTAAGGACACTTGACATGTCCAACTAAATGCTGCACATGGGAGAAGTTTGCCTTCAGGGCTGTCTGCCAGAAATGCCTTGAAGACAAACGTCTCTAATGTGCCTAAATGCTGACCCTGGTGGCATTTCTCACATAGTTCTGCCTTGATCAGTCACTTACAACAGCTGAAAGAGCAAAACATCAAGCAAGACTTTCATCTCCACACAAAACAGAACACAACTGTGACATACTGTGATTCTGTCTGTTATGTTATTGAAGCCTATCTTGATGAAAGAAATTTGACTTATAGCTCAAATAGACACAACGTTTTGTTATTTATTTACATAAACCCAAGAGCAGGAATTGTACATGAAAAACACTCCCTTACTGGCCACTTGGGTCTAATAATAAGGGCCAACATGCAGGTATAAATCCAGATCATCTAGTTGAAGTGTAGACCTCACTATGCTTACTGCCAATATGTACCACATCATATGCCGTTCATAAATTGAAACCTAACCCAGACCTCAAACACAAATGCAGGGAAGAATGAATAGCAGTAAGTACATACTTTGGAGGCCCTTGATGCCTTCTAATGCAATCCCCAGCAATGTATTCTGTATGTCGCAGCCCGGCTGGAAAGTGCCTCCATTGGGGTAAATGTCAATGTGGCCCACGGGTCTCTGGATGCCAATGCTGCGGTCTGGGGAACCCCTGGTGTTGGTGTGCAGGACATCCACAAACTGGGCGTCATCTTTGGACAGGGTGTCCTGGTTGTCTGCGTGCTCAAAAGTGGGACCAGCAGGATCCAGACCTAGAAAAAAGAAAGAGTGAAGCAAAGGTGACGCTAGGGTTGTTTCGCTTTTGGAAGAAGTTGTACTGATTATGCACAGTTCTCCATAAAGAAAGAGTGTGTAGATAAGGACACACATACAGGCAGAAAGAAATGTATTTTGAATGAGTATGTGTTTCATTTGGACTTTTTTTCCATTGGCAGCACTGCAGAACCACTGAGGCTCAGAACAATGCAGGCTCTTAATGGGCTCCTGCCTCTGATCTCAGAAAACACGCTGTTGCTCTAAGCAGGTCAAAACTGGATAAACATCACAGTGACAAATAGGAGTGCTACACACACACATTCAATACAGGCCTGGAATGTAATGGCCGACGGATAATACTGTTTTTTGGTTTTACGAGCACTCCTGGAAAAAATAGTGTCCATATATTACAGTTACAGTATGGTATGTTTGCACACATCATGGTTGCTCTTACAGCCAATAATCATCCCTTTTTGTTTCATGAATTCATGCTTAAATCAAGTGTTAATATGTGACAAGGTGTAGCTTCATCGGATTTCTTGCAACAGCTTCAAATGTGATTCAACCAATCTGAACTAATGGTGACAATGACCCTAATTAAATATATCTATGTTATCACACTGTTTACTTTTAATGTAAGCAGATGATGATCTGTTAATTGGTTAAGTTTATGTTCTCACCTGTGATCCTGCTGATTTTATGGTCAGTGAGGTCTCCAGCGATTCCAGCCACATGTGCTCCCAGACTGTAACCCAGCAGATGAATCCTCTCCCAGGGCAACTGCAGCTCGTTCTGAAGAGGAAGAGATGGATTAGATGTGCCAGAAGAAAATGTTGAGATGTTTTAAAAGAGTTTAAAGTGAATCCTGCAGACTTTCTGGAGGGGTTCAACACTGATAGTAGGCTGTACCTGGCAAAGCACTGCATCACTCTGTTCAAGTCTTAACAGAGTCTGGGACATAATCCAAGACGAGGATTAATTTGTGTAATTTTATGCTTGCCAAAACTTTCCAAGTTTTAAACTTGAAAGTCACATAAACAAAGGACAAAAAAATGAAAGTGTTATTCATGCCAATTCCCCTTTTTGCCTTGAAGTCTCCATTAAATACTGAGTCTTGTAATAAGAGCCTGCTGTGAGCCACAGACATGGCCATAAAACGCCTTTATGGGGTGTTTAAAATCATGACCAGTAGGCAAACATATCCGCCGCAGCAGCACAGCGGGGTACAAATACATGACATCATCTGCTACAAATTTGTCACAGAGTCACCGTCTGCTCTAATTTCTTTGCCAAATCCACCTGTTAACAAAGAGGATGTGGAAAATATGACCCAGTTGGATACTGTTCAATGCAAACACTCACTTGTAGCCAAGTAACAAACTTGGCGACGTCGCGTCCCACTAGTTTAGTGTAGGCTGCGGAGGTCGGGTAGTGCTGGTTGGCGCGGGTCAGCCAGTCCACAACGATCACATTGGCACTGGGCTCGCGCTCATAGAGAGCAGACACCAGCTTGGGCACCCAGCTTTCGAACATCCCTGTTACCTATAGTAACACACACACACACATGTCTGAGGTCAGCTGCAGCATGCCATGATATATTCTGGCTGTAGCCTTCATTCTGAGTCCTGGAGAGAAGCCAAGGTGTCAGCAGGTTCAAATCTTGTTGCATGACTAGCTCTAAATCACATTATAAGAGGAGTTGCACAGACTGTTTGCAGAGCTGACTCACTGCTCTCAGCCCGTTTGTGCATTTATTGTTGTTTTCATCCCACAATAGTGTACGGATGCTCATCTGTTCGGATTTGGCTCAACATTTATGATCAGTTTGTTCATTATTTCAACAGTGCATTAGCAAAACTCAAACTCTGCCTATTGTATGTCCAGCATACCATTTTATAGCATTATTTCAACGGATATTTGTAGAATAACATCAGCATCTCAGAGCCAGAAGGGCATTATGTGCAAAATAGATACCTAACTAACAAATGAGGCACAAATAAGACAAGATTAATCACACGCACATTTAATATGATGTTCTATAGTAATACATGCTGCTGCCAATTTTACATAAAATCCATTTAGTCTGACATACCGTCCAGCCATGTATCACTATGAAGGTCTGTGTTTCTGAGTTGAATTCACACTCCTTGATGGTTTCTGGACTCCCGGCCACAATGTAGCACATGTCATCATCTGGGGTGTCCACTGTGCGCAGGGAGAACTTGGACACAATGTCAGTGTAGTCTGTGATCCATTCAGCAGTGGTGGGCAGGGGAGTAGTGGTGACTGTGGTGTTTACTGTTACAACACACACAGATTATTAGATTATCATGGTGTAACAGGTGTGTAGAGGATTGCATGCACAATTAATGATTCCGAACAGGAAAAAGATACATTTATAACATTTTTATTACTACTAATTTTAAACACTGTTCATCATCGAACATTAATTACAGAAGACAAATATAAACATGCTTAAATAAACTTTTCCCCCATGCAAATTGTGAAACCTTGCTGCCCTTCTAAATTATATAAAGGGACCACCAGTGGGACTGAGTCAAACAGTAGATTTTTAGAACATGGCAGTGTCGCCCTCTTTTGTCTGCACTGCACTTCTACCAGCATAAATTTAATTAAATCTCAAAATATTAATGTAATAGCCTAATATATAATATAACAAGAGCATGGATTTCCTAAAGAGATTCGTTTAGTGACACTGATTAAAACTGTATAATAAATGACCTCTAAACTGATTAGATTCTTTCAGTAAGTTCAGTTTTGTAACCTAAATTGTCTTTCAAAAATCCAATAAGGCTAAATGGTTTTAAGTGGAGGAATGTCATTAAAAAGGAGTTAATGTCTTTCTAAGGAAATAATACGTCTTTATATTGTTACCTTAATATGATTACAATTATATTTTCTTCTTCCTCTTTTCTTTCTTCAGACAAAAGGCCTGTAGCAGCAGCTTTTTTTTCATTCACACATGGACATGAATGGTATGAAATGGGATGCAGACCTGCAGACCTGAGCTCTGAAAGCGTTTAACGGGGTTACTCCCGGTCACCACGGAACAACGCGCATTAATTAACTGGCGTCCCGCATGTGTTTACTTCGTGGAAGCTTAATCATGAAAATAATATCCTGACAAAAAAGTTCTCACAAGAGGAGCACATTGATCGGTCGGTCTTACCAAACACAGTGTCGGTGGTGGGTTCAGGGCCAGAAGAAAAAGTTGCAAAGATTTTCCCCAAAATTATCCAAACTGTCAAAAAAGTGATATTTTCTTTTCCCATATTATTGAGTTTTTTTGCTAAAAAATATCCTGGATAAAAAGTTCTGTGGATGTCGGGAGACCAGTTGTAAATCCAATCGTGTGTTTTAAAACACAGAAAGTGGCGAGGGATTGCGGTTTAGGGGTGAAGTTTCTTATGGTCAGTCAGATGCCGCTACAAGTAATCTTTATGTGTGGCTCATTTGAATAGTCACACATGATTGGCTGGAGGTTGCGGGGCGGGGTTTAAACTTTGGCCCAGCTCGAATCACTTGAAGTTGAATGATTTACAATCCTCTTCAGGGAGCCATCGCAGCAGACGGGACTCTGCATAAAGTCTCATTTAAATCATTGGCTTCAATTAGCAGCTATCAGTTAGGTTTTTAAGATGTATAAGGAAAATACAGGAAAGACAGACTTTAGGCCACATTTTCACTACAAAAATTTATCTTATGTTCTTTTCTCATGACTCATATTAAGCTGTTCAAAAGAAAAGAATAAGAAATAATTTGTGTGAAAATATTTGACTTTTTAAACCAATGATGTACAAGCAAGTATGCAGGTGTTATCAGCAGTGTAGGCCTACTTAAAGTATCAAAAATGTAAAAAATAAATTTATATGTGTTCAATGTCAACTCTTCATTTGTAAAATGATGAGTAACTAAAGCTGTCAAATCATTGTTATAAAAAGTCAAATTTGTCCCATTGAACTATAAAGTAGAAGTATAACATGGTCATATTTGGACTTAAGTACAGTAATTGAGTAAGTGTAACTAACTACATTTCTCCTCTGATAATATGTATATAATATTATATCCAGCAAATGTATGATTCGGTTACTCATCCCATGCCCCACAAAAGGTACATTCCTGCATGTAAAATGAAAACAAGGTGGCAGTTAAACCCTATTATGACACTTGTGGTCACCAGAAAAGCTGAAAAGGTCCAGAGAAATCAAAGACACGTGGGATGAGAACTGGCAGGAGAGAAATGTGTCTGAACCCGCGTGATGGGGTTTTATGATGATTTTAATGCTAAAAGCCTGCATATTTGTCACATCAGTGACTGTGAAAACTTGTAGCTTAGATATTTTGCCATCATAATATCATTGTACAGTGCGTTCTCTGATGCCAGCCCCCTAATACCACACAGTTTTTGATATTGAAGGATAAAGTTTCCATGTTTTTAAACATGATATGCATTCATCTTTCAATGAATCAGATCTGTGTGAGAGGCCCCCTCACAACACCTTATGTTGTTTAATCTTCATAAATATTATAAATATAAAACCTTCAGACTTCTGACTTCATTAAGATACCATATGAAGAGCCTGACTCAGAAGGCTGTGTTGCTTGAAAGAAAGACACGTAAAGGTGAATTTTTATCGTCTCCTCTGTAAAGACTTCCTTACGCACACAGGTGGTACAACTTCAACTGTGTAGAAAAAGAAAGAGAGAAGCATTGAATCATGTATTGAATCCTGATTTTTGTCTTGTTTGGGGTCCCACAGACACATGTGTAGGCCTAAATACGTATAATTGAAAAATCAACTACATTTTCATCCCTTAACTATGTTTGTTCTTTTCTGATGACCTCATTAAAACCAAATATGTAGAAAAGTATGAAAGCTGTGACCCTTCCCTTTGCCACAAACTGAGCTTGTAATGAAGGTGACAAAATACAGAAATTACCATAATGCAGCACTATTACATCAAATTATTAATTTTTATATAGTTAGGTTATATGGACTATGTGTGAACAATTATGTCCTCATTTTGTTTGCCAAAAAGTCCTTCACGGACAAAGGTATGTTGTCCTACAAAGTGACGTATCTTATTTTGGGGCACAATTAGATCCTGCAGAGGAACTGTTTGATCTCAAACTTATTAAACTACAAGAGATCCAAATAGACTTATTTGGGATCTGCTGTAAAAAATAGGGATAGGGATAGGGAACTCCATTGTTGTTGACCACGTTCTACAGCTCAAGCCTCTGAGACGCCAAACAGAAGTAGGGGAGACCAGGTGTGGTTGTAACACTTTTTGCTTCAGCAACTATAACTCACTGAATTTTGTAGCTAGAGTTCTCAAATTTTTATACAAAGTACCCACATTTGTTCACTACAAATGGCACCAATTCAGTCCTCTACAAGAATATCACAGACCTCATGAGTTGATGTCAAATGCAATGTGTTCCCTTGTTTCAACCTACCCCAATAGCGGGGTAGGTTGTAACACATGCTGGGGTAAGTTGTAACAATCACACAAAAGAATCAAAAATAGATGCCGCACTATATGATATGCTTCCAAAACAGGTAGTGATATCAAAGAAAAATGTTTCTCTCTTGCTGTAACAGACTTTGTCTGATGACTCAAGCACATGTACAGTATGTGTATGTAAATTTACCTATAGAATAAACTTACTTAAAAGTATACTTAATAAATACTATTAGAATGTAATTAATTAAAGAACATCTCTGTACATCCTTAGGTCTAACTAAAAAGAGGTGTGTGTGTGTGTGTGTCAATGTGTGTATATTCTTATTCAGAGTCATAGTCAGTGCTTGAAGTGGGTCGGTATTCACCGGTACGTATACTAGCTAGCACTTCTATATTTTACTCTTTGGCATACCGGGACTTTTTCTTGCAGACAGGCACTACTCACAAGCTGCCCATACACTTTTCTACCCTCTCCTCCGGCGGGGACTGAGTATGGGAAAGGTCAAGTGACGATACACACACCAACATGTGTACAGCATGTGAATGGGGAGGACTGGTCACAGTGCTGACAAATTAATGCTGGTAACCCTATCAGCCAATGTTTAGCTAACTGTATTACCATACTGGTTTGAAATTATAAAGGACAAAATGCATCACATGTTGCCTGAGAAACTATATTTCAATCTGATATAAGGCAAACAATTCTATCTGCAATAGTATAGATACTAAAGAAAAAATAGTCTTGGTCAAAAACTCTACTTTCGTACCTCAAAATCTGTTTTTTCACTATATATTCTGAATGCACCTCTTTCCAGACTTGATAACCACCATGCCTGATTGGGGATCACCTAACTCCTATCTTATCTCTATTTGGTGGAATTGGTGTTGTTGCAACTCTCCCCATGTTACAACCATACCCGATCTCCCCTACCATAAAACCATTTTTTAGTGGACTTCTGAAATGTCATCATATTTTAAGCAATTCTCATAAAATTTGGGAAAGTCATGATGATAAAACAATGTCAAGTATGTTTTCTGAGCTGCTAAAAAGGGCCCCGGGGTCTCCTGAACCCCAAACAGAACATTAGGTTTACTGCTAAGTTTGGGTGAATATAGAAAAATGGAAGAAACTGATTCACTTTCTTTAATGAAAGACCAACATTTTCCGCAGCATTGAATCCTCACTAATCAACTGCTGCTCTGTATTTGCCTCGACTAAATATAGTCTGCTTGTTTCTTTTATCTTATATGTTCCAGTATATGTATGCCTGTGCATGTTTAGGTGTGTTTGTATGTATGAGTCTGCCAGTGAAAATTGGAAAGGTGGTGCTTATGGCCAGACCAACAGGCCCAACCCAGTGATTAGAGAGAAGAACAACGCCTATCCCCCAGCCTGTGATCTCCATCTTGATCTCCACATTCACTGCGGTTACTGTACTTGACCCACACGGAGACCCACAGTGATAAACGACAGGGCAGAAATGTCATATCCTGTATGACGAGACACACCCAGGCACCATCATCAGAATGATGTTTGGCTACACGGAGAAGGAGTTTTTTCCACAGGATCTGCAGATTAAATCAGACTTTTCACTCTGTTTTTCACACTTAGATGTAATTAGTAGCAAAAAGAGGGAGAGAGAATGTAGAGAGATAAAAAGTGAAAGATATATAAGGACAGCGCAACAGACAGGCAGACTGCCTGTGGCATGTATACAGATCGGATATGTGCCAGTGTAATGTCATGCAGTCCCTTTGATCTCCAATTAGTTTGGCTTTGACCCTGAGACCTGCTGAGGAAATTAAAGGATCACTGCAGAGATGACATAGTATTTCCTGTAGGAGAGGAATTTCTTCACTTTCCTGTTGCTGCTTTTTATTCTGGTGCCTCACAAACCTAAAAGGCTACACATTTGTTTCACAGTCCATCTGTGTTTGCACTGTCAGCAAATAATGTCGGCTTCAGAAAGAGCAGAGTAGTGTTGAGACATGCAGACTACTTCATGTATCTGCTGAATGTTAAAGGTGTAGTTTTGAAAGTTACTGAAAATATTTAAATTAGTTCTAAATACACTCCATCTGTTTCCTTACATGTCCCCTTTATTGCTCCCTTGCCTCCAGTATTTACATTTGCTTAGAGGTATAGTCCACGTGGGTGAAGTCACATGTGTAACTTAAATCCCAAATGACAACAACATACTCATGCTCACACACAAAATCTCTGAAAGTGAGACATAAACCTCAACAATGTGATAAAGCAGCCGTGCGATTGCACACTCACACACAAACACCCCCTCCCCGAATGGTGAATTCCTGGTGGTGAACATAAACATCCATTCTGATGAATCACTGAGAAGGCTGATTCTGGGGAAAAAGGAAAACAGGGATTGGGTTTCACAGGACGATGCATAGATATTCTTGCCAAGTGAATTTGCAGGGGCCCCACAGTGTTTTTCAGAGAGGCTACACCATATGTGTACAGTATGTGGTTTCCACACTAAAGATGGTGTTTCATCCACAGCAAAGCAGACAGGAGATGTGGCTGCAGATTTTCATGTTTACTGAGTGTTTTCTGGTACCTTTAAATACCTACGTGGCTTGATTTTGATCTGGGGCTAAACTTCCAACATCTACATCTACACATCGCTGCCCGTGCGAGGCCATCCATGTAATTTTTTTTCATGACTTCACTGACACTCATCACATTGTGTTCTCGCCGTTATCCGAATGTTTCCACTCTCTTTCATTGCCATCACGGTCCAGACACACCAGCAGATAAAAAGACCTTCAGGGATTCAAATATGGAGAGAATGGCTTTTTTGCCAAATCTGCGGAAGAAAAAAAGCCTTCAGGGATTTCCACTGAGACCTTGAAGCCAAGTGTAGAGTAAATAATGTCAAAGGAGAAAAAAAACCCTCATGAATCATTGTTTCACCAGGCATAAGGTTTTTTTCACATGTGGCATGAAAGCTAAAGAGAAAGCCGCAATTAGCCGACACTAGAGTGGATTTTGGCTGTTAACTGGCCATTCAGAAATCCATTAGAGGTGGGAAAAGCAAAAGAACAAAAGAACAAACAAGTGAAAGAAAGACAAACAGAAAGACAGAAAGAAACAAAAAAGGCAGAGACACAGACAGACAGACAGAAAGAAAGAAAGAAAGAAAAAAGAAAGAAAGAAAGAAAGAAACTCAGCAGGAGTTCAGTCTTTTATTAGTCTCCTAATAAAGACAATTTAAGGTCATAAAAAAGCCACAGAAAGACTTGGGGAGGAGTCGTGTGTGAGGAAAGCAGTATTTTTGCCTCTATTCAAGGGTGACATGAAGAGGAGGTTTTATATACTCGTGCTGGCAATTTAACGAGGGAACTAATTGATGCAAGAATTGCATGTGTGTGTGTGTGTGTGTGTGTGTGTGTGTGTGCATGCAGAGGACATTTGGGTGTTTATATCCAACATACACTGAGTATGTCTTTTGTTTGTGTTCACTTTTAACTCTAAACTGTGTGTGTGCCTCTTTCATGAACCTGTCCACTTTACCAGTAAGTAAATCCGATCTAACCATTGTTTTTGTTTTATTAGACACGCATGAATTGTTTTTCAAGCCGTTAAAATTACTTCCACGGTCCATGTACAGATGTCAAACCCCAAGACAGCGCTTAGCATGAGGCTTTCTGTCAGCTAGTTAGATAAGGCATTGTGGGTAATGTAGGTGCCAGGTTATGAAGAGGAAGAGGAATTGAGGAATAGTGCAATGCTGTTTTTAGGACGTTCCACCAGACCGCTTGTCTTGGGCAAAACATTAATATAATAACATAATATCTTAGTCTTGAATCTGAATATTGACCTTGACATTTACCCTGTTATTACCAAGCTGTAATATGAATAATATTATTACTCAAAGCTAATATAAATTACAATTATATGTATACATGTACTGAAACACCATTCATATACAAAGTGCAATCTAAAAAGCAGTGTCACACAGGCCCAGGTAAAAAATTCTAAATTCAAAACTTTTATCTATTAGCATAAAAAGCTTCGAATTTACAGCGTAATATATATTTATTCATATAAGGTTTTCTAGGGCAAATACATATTATATTCAATAAAGGCCTTTTATTGTAAGGCCCTGTCACTGGACTGGCAGGCCCTGTCATGTGACAAGGTCGTAACCTTTAAGGCGTGTTGCACTCTTATTATGTGTTTTATGTAAGTGTGACTAACTGAAATTTCAGGGACAGTGAGATACTATACTTTTTGCATAATTTATGTATAATTTCATGTTTAATCGATTGATGTTAATGACGACAACTTAAACTTGTTATTAATGGTGTTTTTTTCTAAATAACAGTTTTAAGTATAACAAATCTATGAAATATGTAGCTCCACTTTGTCAGGACAGGACATTTTGCCAGGAGTTGTAATTTTCAAATGTTTTTTTAATAAAGAAGGAAAACATCTGAGAACCTGGTGAACGACATGTTCCTTTACAGAACAACTCACATAAATCAACCATCTAGTCAGTGTTAAACATCTTTGGTATACTCTTTTTTCAATGTAACAATTCCAGGACAGATATGTTATTGGTAGGACATGCCACTTGTCCCCAGTCTTTCTTTCTTGTCACTACTCTTTTAAGAAACATCCCCAGTGAAGTGATCTCAGTGAGGAGACCACAGTGGGTCAAACTGCCAATACAGTGTAAAAGCTGGATATATGTTCACGAGATCGGCAGGAAACCAGAAACATCAGCCTTCCCCTTACATAATGTTTGGCATATATAGAATATATTTAGATATACATGAAACCAAAGTCCATGTACAGATACCAAACCCCAAGATAGAAATGCTACTTAACGTGAGGGCATTTTGGTCTGCCAGTTAGATAAGGCATATGCATGCAAATACACCTACATGTGTGTGCATGCATGTGCAGTATGTGCAAAAGGAAAAAGCAAATCAGATTGCACATACACGCACGCACACACACAGAGGAACATACAAGTTGGAGGCTGTGCATCTGTTGCTGTGCGTCACTACAGGTTCCACAGAGCGTTTAACTGCCCACTACACACTGTCACTACACACTGCCCACTACACACCGTGTCCAGAATGCACAGAGTCCCATTAAGCAAGCGTGTATATCTCGATGTGTGCAGGCTGAGAAGCACACACAAACACACTTCATGTCTATGTATTACACAAGCGCTTTTGAACATGTATGTTGGGGGTTTTATCTGAGTGGAATGCAGCAGACCAGAAGCCTGAATAAGTCCTATATGTTCAGTCCATGAAGGCAGCTGGTCATGCCAGTGTAGAGGGAGGCTCAGGTTGCTGTGCATGCAGCAGTCAGCACCAGTCTACTCAGACCGGACTTTCTCAACTCACTGATGTCCCAACTCAGGACAAAGAAGACATTTCATAAGTATTTGATTTTGACTGCTCCAGGAGATGCCAGCGTCTGGCCTGGCAGTGCTGAAAAGGGGTTGCACATGTGGAATTACATGTTGGCAGCGCAATGTTCTTTTGCATTCCTGTTGACTTTCCTATTTAAATAATTTGAATTATTTTGCAAGTATGAAGTATGAAGTATGAAGGTGTTAATAAAAACATGTGAACCTTCAAAGATTATTATATTAAATTTAGGTCAGAAACAACTCTGGCATGAACATTTCTTGACATGCTTTGCTCACAGTGTCTAGCATCCCTCATATAGCCCCGGATGACAGAGGCCTTATGTCTGACTCTCCACTTGTTTCTCTCTCCTTGATCAGGTTTTGCACTGTGATGACCCAGCTTGGCTCAGGTTTGGCCTTCACTCTCTTTTCATCAGTCTGGCTGCTGTCTGAGCTTGATGTCTTTGGCAGGCAGGCAATAGAGTTTGCACCATTCCTGTCAAGCTGGAGTACTACTGCATACATGAACAAAGTTTTATGAAGCCTTTTGTGACTCCAGAGGGAGCTGTGTGAAATCTGGCAAGTCACCTAAAGTCATGTCAGTTGAGTCAGCATCAGTTGAGGCTGAAAATGAAAAAAAAAATCTGGGGTTTGGAAATTAGTGAGATTACCAGACCTCTGTAGATCCTCCTTTCTGCTTGAGGTCAGTGGCTTGAGGCTACGCTGGCTGCTACTAGCATAACACATCTGAATCTCTTACCAAAGGCCAAGTTGCATTGTGGTTAACATATAGGTGCAGGTTTGGAAGAAGAATATGTGGAAAATGTCTTTTTAAACATTTGGAGTCTGACAATGTTACAGGAGTGCAATTAGTGTATTACTCTTTGAAATTGACTGCAATTACATCTAAAAATATGAGCCATTTGAGTCTGACTCTGCCAACAGTAAATGAGAGCTGGATGTATGGTAGGAATATTTTATATTTTTCTATCATATATTGCATTTTTCCAATCATTTCAGGGCTACATGATATCATGGACAGCTATTTAACGAAGATAACATATTCTCAAAACACACTTGTTGGCAGCAGTAGGGCAGGGCAGATGGAAATAATTTTGTCACACATCTAGACACATTTTTGTCCTATCTACTGCATTTTTCTGTAGCTCACAACACTGAAGCTCTGCAGACCTCCTTCTCTCACTGCAGGTCAAGATGTTGAAGGAAGCTCCTGGTGGATCTACCTGTGGGTGTCACTAACATACAGAGAAGCTTATGCACATGAGCGTACCATCACATGCAACAGAAACATTACGACTCTGCCTCAGCTCAACTGTTGCAGCTTCTCACATTCACGTGCACTGCCACTGACTCAGAGACATGAATCCAGCGGAGAGATGAAACACTGCAGAGTACCTTACTGAAAACCTGCTGTGTGATATGATGTGAATCCCATCACAAATTGGGAACAAATTAATTGCAACAAAAGGCTCCTTTAATGAGTATGGTAAACTTCTGAAATACTTCAGACACAAACTGGGATACAGAGAGAAGAGTGGTGAGTTTAGGTCCATCAACTCAACTAGTAAAGAAAATAAACTCTTCCAAAGGCCAGGAATCTGGGTAAATAATGTTGCACAGTACGGGGATGACATCAAAGATCAGTTTGTGTGTGCATGTGATTCCTTCAACACGGACATCAGTGTGGGTGCTTGCATGTTCTTTTCACATCTGGTGGACTATCTATGGTGGTGGAGCTCGACAAGAGGAGAAAAGAGGTGAGCCAGACACAGGGACACTGGTACATGTCCTGGTCCCAAACATCCTCTCACCCACAAGTCTTTTTATTTTCACTTCTGCTGTCATCTGCGTCATCATGGAAGCAAGAGTTATTGTGAAATCTAGGGTATGGATGCAGTGACTGCATCCCTCAGTCCTCACAGTTGCTTTTGACGCTGTCCATGTTGGTATTTCAGCTGATTCTACAGATTCTGCACTTACTGTCATCAATCTGAAAAATAACATTTACCTCTAAAATATGAACAGAAATTTCTGGTTCTGACTTCTATTAATGGTTATATGTCTCCCTCTGTTGGACAAAAAGAAAACTGATGAAAATTGGGAGAATTTTAGACTCAAGGTTTGCACAAACTGATAATTAACTTGCCTGGTTTCTGTGTTTCCACATGAAGCAGCCAGATGGTGTAGACAGATGGGTGGAGAAGGTGCTGGTTATGCTGGCAATATAGACCTGCAGATTTGATATGATGATGGGGCTCACCTGTATTATCACAAAATCTATAATATTTTATTGGCCAAAGACAACTGGTTGGGTACAACTGTAAAATAAATAAATATGTAAATTATGTCAAGTATGCAAAATGCATTCATTAAACATATTAGGCAGTGAATGCAGGAACAAATGCACCCAGGAACTTAATGTAACAAGGGAAGTGCATTTTTATTTAATAGGAACTTTCAAATACACCAAAAATTGTTATTGAACAATGTCATAATTTAAGCTATTTTAAGCTACTGCATCCATTGTCAATCCTCATGTTAATCACAGACAGTTAGGGTATAGCATTCTGCATCTCATTTGACTGAAACATCTCTCACAAATCACAGTTTCTGCTATCTTTATCTATCAACATGTACAAGTTTTATTCCCAAAGCTCACAAAAAAGAAAACTGACTCCCAATCAGTTCAGCAAAGCCAAACCCTTAAGATGCTCTCACAACACATCTCAAAGTTTGACTTTGAAACCACAGCAACTGCATTAAAACATAGTTAATATGAAACTCAAATTAACATTCATGAGTTTACGACCTGACACTGCTTACTACTTCCCCAGTAATACACACGGAGTCATCCTTCATGACACATGGGCTGCAGTGTGTTGAAGGAAGAAAGTATCTGTGGATAGAGAGGAAGTCCATTTGTAGAAACGGAACTTGAAGCCTGTAATAGAAAATTACAAGGGAAGTTGGAGTGAAGGAGCAGCTATATCTGGAAATCATTTCCAAGTCAACACTGACAGTTAGTGGACTCATGACCCGAGTATGAAGTACAGAGGTCAAAATGGCATCCTACGTCAAGATCATTTCCTGCTGCAATGAAGCATGCGATATGTAATCCTGGACAAATTGCTATTCTGCAGTGAGTGTTACACTGACACTCGCTGAGGTGAGTGATAAGAGAAGACATTATTGGAGTCTACCCCCCACACACAGTGTTTGCTATTACAGCCACAAGCTTCTTACCTCATTTCTTCAGTCTACAAGCCATGTGAAATGTTTCCATCAGACGCTGACTGTGACATTTGCAAGAGTTAAAGGGCACCAGATCAGCAGTCTGAGTGCAAATACCCACTATGTTTTAGGAAAAGGTAAAGTAATTATAACAATCATTCTAAATTAGCCAGCGACAATACTCCCCATACTGGACATCACACCATTAACCCCGTTTGAAATGTTAGTTACCACGGTATAGTTTCAAATGACTGAAATGTTCAGGTATCCTCGTCAATGACTCCATTAACCACCAATACGAAGTCAGAGCCAAAAATTCGTGTCAAGTCCAATTATACACTGCATTTTTAGAAGAAAGGAAACTGTAATAGAAGGGTTGAAATGTGAAACGTTACTTCACTGTGTCACATCAGATCATATCTTTCGAGGTTTTTTTGTGATGCGTGTTTTGTGCTGAGCCCGAAATTGATTTTTGAACAACTGTTTTGGCAATTTGAAATGAGTCATGGAGCATTTGTTTGAGTAGTACCACTGCAAAAATATATGTAAAAAATTTTTTATTGTGAGAGGCAACTTCACCCTGTGAATTTTACAACTGAGCTGAACAGAAGGATGAGAAAACACAATGTAACACATTGATGCAAAGAAAATTAAAAACACATTTGAGGCACGCAGGCTACAACACCATACGTTACACTTGAGATTTTATCAATTAAATAGACTCTGACCACATACACACTCCAGGGGTATTTATTACCATTATCCAACAATCACAGAAATCTGATACTATATACAAAAGAAGCACAGACTGAAATATATATATAAAAAAAAAAAGTCTAACAAGCATTGAGAATTAGAATGTGACATGTAGTTTTAAAAACCTTTTCTTCAGCAGCAAAACTCTTACAAACCAACTGTGTTACAAAAAGAATAACGTCAAAAAGGAGCCTCAATCTCTGAAGAAATTAATTGCAACAAAAGGCTCCTTTAACCAGTATGGAAACCTCTGAAATACTTCAGACACAAACTGGGATACAGAGAGAAGAGTGGTGATTTTAGGTCGATCAACTCAGAGCTCTGACGTGGCTCTACCACCACAGGCCAACCCCGAATATACAACTTCTACATGTGAGCAGACAGTTGTGTTATACAAACAAAGTGGGTTGGACTGAATGATAAATACAAGAAGATCGCAACATCACGCACACACCCAAGAAAAAAAAAAAAGAAGAAAAGGAATCACACAGAAAAAAAAAGGGTTTCCCTCAAAAATGGACTGGAATTGTGTCAAAAAGAAATTCCTGATTTAAAAACATTTACAAAACTAAGATGTCAAACCCTTCTTAATATGACTTCCTACAAACAGTTGCAATACTGTCTGTCCGACAGACATCAATAGCGTCGACCAAAAGCTCCACCCTGCAGCCCGCCGCTGCCCTGCATCAGCTGGTTCTGTCTGTTGAGAGCTCCAGAGAGGGACTGAGATGTTCCTGTGTTCATGTAGCTTCCACGGCTGATGATTAAAAAAGAAATAAAAAAAGATGCAATTACACACAGTGACTGAGAAATGCTCTAACAAATTGTGCATGCTGCTCCTCTAAAATGAGATTTAAAACCACTTGCTATTCACTCCTCACCCTGCCATTCCTCCACGTGCCATGTGGCTCTGGCCTGGGATAGCACCATCTCTGCCTGGAACAAAGAAACAAAACATCACATAGAACAAGACCACAGTAGTTATAGCTCTATATTGCAACTGACTGTTGCTACACTATTTTCCTTCAGCCTGCTACTTCAAAATGTATGATCACAAAAGCAGTCAGTGTAACTAGCAGTACAGTCATGGCGCACACGTTAAAGCACAAGTATGCGTACTTTGCCATGGTCTGTCTCCATCCATCTTCCGGTTCGAATCCCAGTCTCGATTTCCCTCCCTAAAAGACAAACATTTTTACAATTATTTCCCTCCTTCAGTAAATAACAGCCTGTATTTAGGTTTTTATATGGCCTGAGCTGAAGCCAGCGCAGCGTCACGCTCACCTGGGGTTAATGCGTTTGTCGTAGCCTCCGCTCCAGGAGTCTCTGCCTTCTCTGCCATGTCTGTCTGAGAAGTGCTGCAAGAAGAGACAGCAGACACTGTTTTCCTGTGAAGTCACTACAAATTTTAGATGTCAAAGATCCGGATGTTCTACTGTTCTAGAGGCACCACTACAAAATGGCAATAGTGTGAGCATTTGTTTACATGTGTACTGGTCTGTAGGTCAGTCACACATGTTTTAACTGAAGTAGCTTTACTGGACCTCTTACCTGACCATCTCGGTCTGCACCGATGCCACGCGCATTGTCCCGCCTGTCCATAACCATGTCATCTTGGTAACGGCTCCGGTCCCTGTGGTCGAAGTCCTGATAACGTTCCTGTCGACCCAAGTCTGAACGGCTGTAACGGTCATCCATGGCCATGCGCTTATCAGGCCAGTCATCTTTCCTGAAAGAAGAGAAGGCAACAACATTATTGGTGATTATCAGTAAAACTTTGTGATTTTATTTGGCAGCCTTTTATACAAGACTACAGATCCAGCATGAGAGTTAGAAACTACTTAAGTATAGTCTATGATCGTAACTGACGGTGTATAATTTGTGTCATCATCCACCACTTACTATGGGATGTATTACTTCATATTATTTGCAATACTTACCAATAGTTGCTTATTTTGTTTTTTGTGACCCTTAAGCTTTGTTTTAAATAAAGCTCGTACAGGAGAGTGTAATCGTGAGCACTTAAAAAAAAAAAAAAATCAACACTGAACAAATAATGAATTCTAATATTTAAATGCCGCTACTCAGAATGATCAAGAATCCAACTTAAATAAATCCATTTCTCAATCATCCTTTAGTATTTACCTTCCATCCAAGTCATAAGGCCTCTTAATGGGGCGCCGCTCCTGTTCGTAACGCAACTGCTCCTGCTGCCGTCGCAGCTCCTCGCGCTCTCTGAGGATCCTTTCCTGCTCCCGCCGCCTCTCGTACTCTATACGTAGCCTTTCCCGCTCCAAGAACTGACGCTCCATACGGTCTGCATCGAGGCGCTGCTTCTCAGCCTGGAACGGTTCATGGTTTCAGTAAGGAATTTGTGAGGAAGGTAGACTGACAATGACAATTTTGACAAATTAATATGTGGGAGGCAAACTATTGATAAACAGATATTTCCATTACTTTAATTTAAAAAGGAGTACATGTATTCAACAAGTAGAGATTTGTGCTGGAGAAAATATAATGCAGAAAATGTTGGCAGAAACGCTGATAGCAATGCAGTGAGAGAAAGAAAATCCTTAGAAAAATTACTTAGAAATAAGTAATCTGACAGTACCTCCAGCCAGTGTCGCTTCCGGAGCAAGTGTTTCCTCTCCTCTTTCTCCCGGAACAGACGGATTCGCTCGCGCTCACGGTCCGGACGGTTGTCACGATCCCGGTCACTGAAAGAAGATGGCAAAGATCAATCTCTCAGCACCAAATGTACTTTTCTGGAAGACGTGAGTAAGAAGAGGTTAATAGCGTCCAGAGTAACATATTTTATAAACTAAGATAATTTATTCAGTATTTAACAAGGAACTATAGAAAGTATTTTCTTTCTATAGAAACAGCAGTGGAGTTTCTTAATACTCAATTATGTTTCATTAAGCCCTGTGGTGGGTTCAGATTGTCTTTTCTAGACCCCGCCCGCATGATCCTTACGTGCACCTGCGCCTCTCCACCTCTCTGATCTCCCTCTCTCGTTGTCTCTGCCTCTCACGCTCTCTCTGCTCCTTGATCTGGTCAAATGACAGGATGTCCTTCTTCTCCTTACTGGATGACTTGCGGTCTCGACTCTTTGTGCTCTGGAAAAAGGACAGAAGCAAGAAGAGTGACTCGAAATCAAAATAAAATCTGCCCTGCAAATCTGTATGACAATACAGCTGTTCATGTGTGTCTGAAATGCATCTAATCTCTATATTACATTATACAACCTTGGACCTTGTGTCATGAGAAGACAAGTTTTTTGTCATATTCTTCTAATCCTCTTGTAACAACTTTATGCATCGACTCTCAGTAACACAACTCATACCGGGAGGATAAAAAGTAACTGGGTGGTACAAGTTGTTATAGGGTGAAGGTTTACTTACTCTTTCTTTGCTTTTGGTTTTGACACTGATGACAGGTTCTCCTTTGGACTTGTCCATAACTACAGTCCTCTCATTCCGAGCTGCCAAACACACACAATTGATAGTGTCAAGAATATAAAATGTTTTAGAGGGGTCTCCTTTCTTTAACTTAATGAAGCTGTAAATTATACAACATTTCTCACCTTTGCCATCTTTTCCTTCTCCCTCAGACTTCTCATCCTTTCCTTCAGACCTACAGGAAATAGTAACAGTTCTATCAGAGCAACAAACATTTTTAACAACAGTACAATTACTGGTTTAGGTTTCTCCCGTGTAGTTGGACAGCTTATCCACTCTTGAGTTATAGCTCAGGGGCTCTAACTGCTGTGGTTACAGATTACCACTAGGGCATGCCATGTTAAAAAGGTTTGCGCCCATGATATTTATAAGCACACGAGACCAAAATATCGTCCCGGTGGGGTATCTTTAGTAAGAGACTTTACTCAAACATGCGACAGCTTGTGAGAGTTCTTACTTAGAGTCAGAGGAGTGTCTCCTTTCACCGTCAGACTTCTTGGTGTCATTCTTGTCTGCTGGCTTCTTCCCTGCAGGCTCATTTTTAGCCTACAATGTTTAAACATGAACAGGTTTATTAAAATGATTTAAATGAACTGATTCAATTTCACACGGATTGTGCGAAAGAACACCTCTTTAGTACATATCAGATTACTTGTGATAATTGTGCTTTTCAACTAAAGTTATTTCTGCCCCAAAAGATATTCTAATCTTTTTTAAAAAATGATACATGCTAATCGTTGCCTGGTGTTTCCATTTTTGCTGCATCTCAAGCGCAATTAGGTTTTAGGTATCCATCAGGTTAGAAAGAATTGTACAATTCCACATTACAGCTGACAGAACTCACTTTAATTAAATAAAGGAACAATTTAAAAACTTTTTTTATGAGTTGTGTGTACAAATGCAGATTAACTCTAACTATTTGGGTGTGACCAAATTTATTGGACACATTACAATGAAGCAAGAAATCTTCCTCCGACACTCACCCGCTCCACAGAGATCATCCTGCCATGCAGCTCGGTCCTGTGAAGGTGGCTGATGCACTTAGTGGCCTCCTCTGTGGAAGACATGGTGACAAACCCGTAGCAGCGGGCCCCAGGGCTCTTAGCATTGGTCACCACCTTAGCTCCAACGACCTGCAGGAAATAGAGGAGGGGAAGCAAGGATAAAGTAGTAGAGATTAACAGGGAATGGGACTAAGAAAACATCAATTTTAGATCACATATAAATGCTATGTAAATGATATGCCTGGTGACAACAGTGAGGGATAGTTTAAGTAGACCAACCTTGCCATATTTGCTGAAGAGTGTCTTCAGATCAGTCGCTCTGGTAGTGGAAGAGAGACCACTGACCCACAGATTCCTGCTATTGCTTGCTGCAGCACCACTTCCAGCAGCTACACACAAACACACAATACATTACAGAGCGCATATCCACTGAGGCTGAAAGGTGCAGAACAGGAAAAACAAATTCACTTACCCTTTTCATCTTTTGACTCAGTCGTGCCATCTTTTTCATCAGAGCTAGAGACAAAGAAAAAAGGCTATAAACATACAATAATGAGGATTACCTGGGATCGCTCCTCATACTTGTGTTTTATGGTATAATACATAACTGACAGTGATCAGCCCGTCGCGTACCATAGTGCAGTGATTTAACAGTGTATAATGGAACTATATCCTTTGGCAATCCCAATACATTACTTGTTAATGGGTAATAAAGGGGGGGATAGGCGAGTGTAAGGAATGACAAAATGAAAACAGACAAATGCACAGAACGTTTTTACCTCCAAAAGAGCATCCAAATTTTGCTAGCACAAAGGAGCCAATGCAACAGAGATAGCCATTTTGGTTTCTAGTAGACAGAAAGCAACAAACCTCTTTTTCTGATCATCGCCCTCTACAGAAGAGGACTCTTTCACTGTCGAGGCTGAATCCGCAGCAGCTTTCTCTTCTGTCTTCTCATCCTCCTCACCCTTCTTAGACCCCATTTCTGAATCAACAGTTTCACCCACAGCGCCCTGTTCGCTTACACTAACAGCCTGCGAGCTTTTGTTTTCAGCATCAAATGTCTCTTCTGGGGCATTCTCCACGTCCCCAACCTCGTTGGTGTCAGCCTCCACAACATCCTTGTCGCCCTCCACATCTCCAGAGTTGGCCTTGTCGGACTTGGCACCAGTGTCGGACTTGGCACCAGTGTCGGACACATTTTCTTCTCCTCCGGCGGTGGCAGCTTGCTCTTCTTCTGGGCTCGTCTCGTGGCTCTGGTGGTGATCTTCGTTAAGCGGCTCAGATAAACAAGACCCGGCTACTTTGTCATTTTCTACGGATGTAACAGGAATAGAATGGCACAGAGTTTAATCACTTCTGAAACACAGCAATGGTTAACGAGGAACTGGCAAGGCCTGGATTAGGAACGTCATGACCACTGGCCTGTGCTCTTAGAACTATGTATTAAAACGATGAAGTAGACCCTAACGAGAGACTGGAAGAGAGCCCAAAGGCTGGAGGACAACCAAGCAACTAGTGCGACTAACACTTTGGCTCATTTCTCAAGTTGAACCACACGTTCACCTGATCCAAAGCAGACAAAGAGTTCAGTGCTGTAGAGAGCCACAAGATCACCTGTGCGGCAGGAGATTCTCGCGGGAGTCCATCTTCTTTCAGCTTTTGACTGTGTGTCCAAGGCTCCCAGTGTCCATTTGTGATGACCACAACTTCAGCTCAAGTCCAGCAATTTCACATCCAGCTGATTTCTGAGTCAGTGTCTTTAAAAACGTGTAATACTTGGTGAGACTTGATGGATCTTCTTTGCCTCGATCTTCACGTGGCAACCTAGAAACACTGCAATCACCACACCTCCCTGACCTTCACATGTAATTGCTGTCAGTGTGCATCAAATTGTTAACCACTAGTGTTTCACTACTGCAAGAAAATAACTGGCAACTTAATCAACATTTACCAGCTAATGTATTAATCATGGTTAACCAAATTTCAACACAAAGTCAGCAATTCCCTTTGGGCTTCCAGTCTCTCTTTCTGGTTGAAACTAAACAAAGTGTTTGCATTCCAAGCTCAACACTGTAAAAAGATACCTCCATCTTTTTACACACCATTTTCTACAGTACCTGTTTCTTCTTTCATGTCGACCCCCTCTACTGGATCCTGAGCCTAAAAGACAATGAAGAATGATGTCTTAATGAAAGTGACCGTCACATTTGTTTAGCTCTACAGAGGCCTCTCAAGCTTTACACACATGAAAAACATTTGTGAGGGAACATACCATATTGATCGATGAGCATGTCATATATTCATCCTTGTCTAACATCTCAGACTTGTTCATCTGTTAAAAATAGATACAAATGCAGTAAAATTAAAACCTGCCACTTTTGACAGATGAAAAATCAAATTTCTTGTGTAGTTTCTCACCTCTGGACTTCTTCCCTCATCCTCTGACTCCAAGGCCCTGTTTTCCTCTTCATCATTCAACGCTGCGTCTTCGTCCGAAGGAAAATTCTCCCTTTCCTCCTCCTCCTCCTCCTCATCCCCCGCTGGTATCCCATTGTCATTCTCCGTCTCATCCAGAACGTTCATGTCGAGGATGTCCATTTCCTGCATGTTGTCATGATCATCCTGAAACTCCTCCTGAATAGGAAAGAGAAAGATTTGCTACAAATACAAACACTCAACAGCAATATCCAGAGACTAAACATCTCTGCAGTCATTCAGGAGGGCTTCCAGTTGTGCATTATGTTAAAGCAGTCCTCAAACATGTGAAAATAAGTTAATCTTTCAGTAAACTCACATGGTCATCATGGGAATCCTCGTCGATAGTGCCGTCGTCCGGTTCATCATTCTCCTGCCTTGTATCTACAGAAATTTTTATTTTATTTTAGATCTCGTCTGAATTTGGGTGTCTAACAGGTATTAAAGTAAACTGCTGCATGGGAAGTCTTAATGCAATTCAAGTGACATTCATGTGAAATAGGTATTCACCGAGTTGCCAGATTATTATTATTACGTAAACCTGGCAAAAACTGTAATACATCAGCCCTGTTCAAACTATTTTGTAGTGAGTGTAATTGCAGTCATTTTGGAGGCTGTAGTTTCTGCTTGGTGCAGTAATTGTATTATGTTGCTGTGACAGAGGTTATGCACCCTCAGTAGCTTATAATGCACAATTACCATAAAAGGGGAATCCTCTCCAAAACAGTTTGATCAGAGTGTAAATCCACATACTGTAACGTTACACAGTGGCAACATTAAGCGACCGTTTTAATGTTAAGCGCGTATAACCCCTTTAATTGGTCAGCTTCAGGTGACAATACCACGGGACAGAGGATCATGTGTCTTTTGACAAGTAGAGGAATCTTTAGTTTCTGTTTAAACGATACTAAAGGGGCAGACCCGTGCCACTTCGCATCTTCGGCAAACTTTACCTTTGGTAGTCCGTTTAGGTGTACATTTCTTCGGAGCTGACTCCGGAGCGACAATAATCTCATCAGGATTTCCACCCTCTTGCTCGATTGCCTGTTGGTTTGAGATTTGAGCAAAAGCACAAAAGAACACCTTAATACATTCTCCAGTTTATGAGTTTAAAATGAAGCAAACGTCAAATATGTAAACAAACACACAATTTAAGCTTTCAGCTGTTTGGCGCAAACGTTAGGTAACGGTTAATGCTAACGCTAGCACACAGTATCAGGTCAACGGGCCTCTTAAGCTAACGTAGCATTGCGTTTACATTAGTTTGGGGATAACTTATTACAGGGTGAAGGAAGAAAACAGGGGCCTCTGTAGCACTTGTAATAATACAATTCAGTGCCTGGTTGTTTAACAGGTGAGCTATTAATTACCTTTTTAAGACGCTCCGACAGCACGCTCTTGACGCCCGTCGTGTCCAGGTTTCGTTTCTTCAGCTCGGCCTTCAGATCGATGACTCTCAGCTCCGACAGTTTGCGGATCTCTGCACCCTCCAGAACCTCCACGTCTGCTGATCGGTCAGCCATCGTTGTGCCAGTGAAAATATCTCTTCAGCTTGATATAATTCTTTTATGCACTTTATTTACTGACGGTGCAGCACGAATTAGAAGCAGCTTGCTAGCAAAACTACTGCAAAATGGAGGCCGCGCTAAACCCGATGACGTCAAAGCGCAGGCGCACTGCAGTTGCAGTGCAGAGATGAGTAGAGGAGAAACCTGGCTTAATGTACACACAAATAAAACACAAAATAAAATTGAGAAACATGTGGCAACGACGGATGTCAACAGTTTAATAACAGTTTACAATTCATCTAATTTCTTCCTTTTTACAAAGACAACACATGTCAAACTTGATCAGCAGTGTGATCCTTTTTCAATGTATTATCATCATAGACTGTATAATGATAATATATCAAATTCTTTTATATTAAATATTTATAAAACATTGCAGAAACCTAAAGTATAGTTAAGACAAAGATAACCTAAGTAGAGCACATACGTTCCTTCTGCAGAAGACTTGAATAAAATTCACAGAAAGACAAGTGTTTGCCTGAGCTGTTTATTTAAACACGTTTTTTCCCAACACAGTGTGTAATGGTCAGAACATAGGAGTCATAATGCTTAGTGAGACTGAAAATTGTACATGTCACTAAATTTGTAATTTGTGTCATTTACTTGGCTGTGGGGCAAGCTTTTGCTGGCAACAAGAGGTTGAGGGGCCTCAGATAATTCAGGACAGTCAGCCTCCTCTGGTTTATTGACACTTCTGGATGAAGTTGGAGAGTCATTGGTGGAATATTCTCTGCCAGTTTGTGCATAACATGACCATGCATTTAAGGCTGAAACAACAGAGGCACAGGCCTCACTCAAGGAAGAGCACTCAGGAACGTTGAAGGAGTCGAGGCTGAAGGATGAGGAAGCAGAGCAGGCGCGAGGTGGTCGTGGTTCGTGTAGATTGAGTTTGGAGACCAGTGGCTTACCAACTGTCACTGGTTGCCTTTCCTGTACTTCTTCATCCATGTTGGAATAGGTGTAATGAAGGCAGACTGTGAATGTGAGCTCACTCTATAAGACAGTGAAGAGCAAAATTAGATTTTTAGCTTTAGGAAAAAAAAGGCTTCTCAGCTCAGACTTCAGACCTCTTTATATATTATAATATTCAAAATGGTGGCATTAGTCTTATTCCTGACTCCACTAACAGTACAAATTGGTCTCCAGAGGGCACATAAACATTTATCAGGATTCTCCTAGGACAGAAATAAGAGAACCAATAATGAAAGCAACGACAAGAGTCTGACCCTGAGTCTCTGGAGGCTTCGGATGCGTGTGTACAGACTAGGGACCTCTGGTGAAGGAAGATTTTCCTTGATCAATAATAAACTGCCGGCTTCAAGCAGAGTCTCCTGGTTACTCTTTTTCAGATCGATGTCCACATCCTGCCAAAGTAACAGAATCCACAATAACAGATGAATTCCTGTTTAAAATATAGTGTATTGTGAAACACTGTAGGATTACTGATCACAAACATGATGATGTCTTTGTGTGTCTTTAAAATCTCAAATCCTCATATTTAATATCGGCTGACAAACCTCTGGGAAGTCAGTAAGCTGAGCAGAGCAGGAAGCAATTTCTTTGGGTTTCTCAAGTATCCGAGTGTAGATGACCATGACATTGGAGAACTCTGCAGCAAAACCAAGCTGAACCTTCACTCCACAGTCAAACTGCAGGCAAAGGCTCTTCGGTAGGACTATGAAGGGTGATATTTGAATTAGGTATACTTAACTCTAAGTATAGTATCATGCCAACATTAAATAAAGTAATCTACAAACAAAATGAGTACCATGAGCAACAGCCCATTGCAGGTTTCGAGCCGAATAGGACGCAGAACATTCAGAGGTCTGTATCTGGTCAGTGAGGGAGCGTCGTTCAGACAGATTACTCCGTAGCTCCAGAGCCTGCCTCCCTCGTGTGATCTCACAACGACCCATGTCTGGCAAAAGTAAATACATGTTACAGTATGTTAAAGAGCGTTGTTAAAGAGTGGCACATCTGGCTAGAACACAAACAGTGTTGTGACAACAGGTGTGTTCCACCTGTCAATGCAGAAACATGACTGAGTGGTATGTGGCCAGAACGGCAACATTCTCAAAATGCCCACATTTGTTTTTGTCCTCTGTGAATCTGTAGGTGGTGCGCCTCTTCTCCATCAAACATGATCCCACACAGAACATTAACATCAGAAGTTACTGTTATTAAAAATAAAAACATTTTACAATGGTTTGAAACATTCTTGTACACCAGAAGAAACGGGAACTGTATTTATTTGCAGCCATAGTAGCAACCATTACCAATGCTTTACAACAACCTTTCTCACAGCAGACAGCAGGAAAAGCATAGGTGGAACTAATAACTAATAAGAATGATAACAGCTCTGCTCCATTTAGATGAGACAGTGACCCATGTCAGAGTCAACACACACAACTATTTGCTTATTGCATGCCCAGTTGGTGCAAATCTATTACAGGCCCCAATTACAGATCCCATACTTCATGTGTGCTCCGCATACATACCTTCAGCCACTCTGTCTAGCATGACGGTGACCTTCTCATCTTCACAAACTCGCCGTTTGAGGAAGCTTATGAAGATGCCATTTGACACATCCTCCCTCCTCACTTCATATGCTTCAGCGTCTACGCATCTAAAACACAACAAGCTACACATGAGTGAAACCTTTTCAGTCTAAATCACGGAGTTCCAATAGTCTCCACCACCAGAATTAATCAAAGCAAAAAAGCACAGCAGGTGAATTAAGAAGCCAACACAGAATGAAAATTAACGTTTGAGAGAATCAGCGACTTACGTGGCATATCCAAACACTATATTTGCTGTCACCTTGATCAGTCCTGGTTGAACAATGATATCATCATTTGGGTTTCTGAAAAGAAATAATTAAAAAATTCACATAATAAACTCAATTATGTGTTATGTTATATTGTGTAGCATGAAGGAACTACAAATTTCATTTTGTTATGCAGCCATGTGCTGTATAATGACTAATAAACAACCTTGTACCTTGATTAAAAGCATAAATTTGCACAGCAGATGATATAACCTCAGCGTGACATAAAAAAAGCTGGTACTTCAATTAATTAATTTCAACATTCACACCTTTTGCGGCACATGTCCAGCAGGAATACGTTAAGCCCAGTCTCTTTCTCTTGCATCCTGGTCAATATATTCTGTACACACAAGCAGTGCTCTGATGTGTAGGAGGCCGGTGCGTCGATGGGAACCATAAAACTGTTGCCGTAATTCTCATAACCGTGGCCAGCAAAGTATAGCAAGCCTGTGGAAGGAAGGACAGAGAAGTGTGTGACTATCGTAGAATCAAAGTCAGATTCTTAACCTTTTATACTATATTTTACTTTGATAATAGACACCAACCATAGACTCCCTTGTCAAGCAGCAACAGAAACTCTGTGACAGCGCTGTGCATCTCTTGCCAGTTGAGGTCGAGCAGGGAAACCACCTTAAAGTCCATCTGTCTGAGTACGTTGGTCATCTCATGGACATCAGCGATGGGAGCGCACAGCTGAGTGTGGTGGAGATAGTTCATGTTGCCAATCAGGAGAGCAACTTTGTCTGTTGCTGTGGAGGGGAACATAACGCATCACGAAAGGACCATTAACCTAAAACAAATCATGTGATGTACCTATTTAGAGAGTATATTTTGATCCACAGATGCTGTATTGTGACTACAGTATTGGTTTGGGCAAAATTCACCATGGAAATGCTTGGTCGATGAGGGCGAATCGACCACCTGTATCGGCTGTATTCCTGGTTTGCTGGTTGACCTGTTGACTTCCTGTGAGTCTGTCAACACCAAAATGAAAAGGTTAAAATTAAAAAGCCCATGCTGCTGGTGATCAGACTGTTTGTTTAATGTCTCATTTCTACAGTTCTTGGTAACCACACATGCTGTAAACTTTCTATTAATGAGAAAAAGCCAGTCGACAGATTTCAACACACACAACCTATCAGCTAAATCCGCTGCTGGTACTACACTCAAAAGTACCCCTGCATGAACAGGTATCAAGGTGTGATGATGGAACTAAAATTCTAGATCCTCTATTCGCTCCTTAATATTCAGAATATAAAGAATACCTAGACCACGATAGACTTCTACCCAGGAGGCATCAGTGATGGAACTGGGGCCTGTGTAAAAGTGCAAAACAGGAAGTTATTCATTGCACAGTACTGCACTTTGCCCAAGTGTGACACGAGCCTATAAATGTGCAATGTCAGACTTATTGCTGGTCTATCTATGTTTACAATCTCCTCAAAAGTAATAACATTCACACAATTATCATATGTATTAAAACTTTTTAAGACCTCTTCGATCTTTCTAATAATAATACTTCTGTCAATTATTCTGACTACAGAAACAAGAAATGTGCCTGGGTCTCACCGATGGTCACTGTTGCGGTGTCAGTCCACGCCTCGTGGTACAAATTGAACACCTTGCATCTGTATTGTCCTCTGTGTTCTGTGGTCACACATGGGATCTACAAGAATACACAACATCAACTACACACCACATACTTGTATGGAGACCAAATGTGAGAATTTGTTAACACCTTCATTGGTTTGGCCTAACATATCTCCTCTCATTTGATGTTTGGAAACATTTTCATACCTGATCTATTGCAAGACAAAATTGCATCACTCTGATATGATCATCTTTACACTCTAAGCTAACACACACATGGGTTTGGTGCAAAGCTGCAGTATATGTAATAGAATGTGGAAAATATAGATTACAAACAAGTGACAAATAGAACTGTTAGTTCGAGAGGAGCTGAAGCTAACCAACCCCCCTCTATAAAACAGAAATGCTTTTATAAGATAAACATATGTATTAGTTTATGATATCCTTTTTATGATGATAGCACAGTGGTTATATATTTCCTGCCTTGCTTTTAAAGCTTTTGTCCATTTTATTTCTGAAATCATTGTTATGCACAGTAGATAGGCAGTTCAGTCAGAGCAGACTGTGTAAATACACTTGCCTTGAGTGACCGTGTCTTGTGTTGTTTCATGGGCACCGTATTGTGGTACCACTCGTACTGGGCAGGAGGGTTCGCCTCTGCATTGCACTCCAGGAACAGAGTGTCACCCTCAGACACTGCTTGGGACTGAGGTTGATGGGTGATGAGCAGCCCACTCACTGACCCTGGAAACAGACTGCTGCTGCAGCCTGATATGACAAGATTTACTCGGAAATGACATTACATGTCATGAGATGAAATAAAACAAGGAGAAAAGAAGGAGGAGAGAAGAGGTACCTGCAGAGTAGACACAGCGAACGTGAGCCCACTGGGAGAAGATGCAGTTTTCTCCATGGTTGACCCTACAGATATAGTGACCCTGGTGGACCAGGGCTAAAGGACAAAGAGCCAGATCTGGTGTACTCCCTGTCTCGTTCAAAATCTAAAACAAGGAAATAATTAACCAATAACCAATTTTTAACTGACATCTGATAATAACTATTAAGAGAATGCATAATTTGTCTCATTACCATCACCACATTAACAATATAATAAATACAGACCACTCCACGTAACATAGGGTTTGACCTGAAATCTTATCATAACCACGTAATCATATGATGTTGGACTGACCTCTTCTTTGCCTCTGAACCACTGGTAGCTGAGTCCAGGGGGACCAGAGGCTCTGCAGGTCAATACCACCCTGCCCCCAACTGTGGCTTGCTGGGACTGTGGCTGCACTGTGATCTGGATCAGCTCTGCTACTATCACACACACACACACAAACACACGCACACACACACACACACACACACACACACACACACACAACTTTGTAAAGTTGTTACTTCTACAGACAAAATTATCTGTGTAAAACAAATCTAATGCCCTATCTTTCCTCTACTAATATTTATGGTTGAAAGAGCCAGGACTGTTTCTTCCTGATGTTTCCTTACATACTAATAACCTTTATTTGGCATTTTGGCACACTGAAAGGACAAATAAAATGAATACACACAGTTTCCACTGCTGACAATCACACACGTGTTACTTATTAATAACATTAATGAATGCCATCAATAATATCTGTTTGCCATTTATAGTGGGTGTTCCAAGGCTAGTCAAGTCAAAATGTGCACATGGAGAAAGTACCAGTGCCTCAAAATGTACCAGCACTTGAGTAAATGTACTTACTACTTTCATACTTTTTTTTGAAAATGTGTAACATTAAACCATGTTAGGAAGCAGAATTTCCTGAAATAGAAATCTACACGTCTGTATATGTATGGCATCCCAGTCACTTCGATTCAAAGAACCTTTTTTTATCCATTAGGAACTTCATTTGTGCAGAGCATCCGTGCACATTCACAGAAACCCACACACATCACATACCAGCAATCAACAGGGGTTAGTAAGTAGGTAAAGCTTGTGAGGCTCAATAAATACATGATAGGCGATAAACATTAACAGAGATTTTGTTCAAAAGACAGATAAATAAATAATGCTGCTTTACCTTTGGTGGTGAGGTAGTGCACAGCTTCCTGGTGGTCTATCTTCCTCAGGCAGTGGAGCAGAAAGTCCAGGGGACAGGAGCGATCAGCCAGCCGTGCCAGGAGGGTACGTCCCGGGCTGCCTGCAACGCTCAGCACCTGAAGTGAGCAGCTGGTCAGCTCATTTTCACTGCAGGGAGAGCGTTCAATGGGCAGTGTTAGTGCAGGGGTGGTGACAACCATAGTGCCCCAAAGCAGGAGAGAGGCAGAGCCCCCGCCCCCCCCAAAAAACTTGCAGGAATGTACAGTATTTTACTGAGGGACACACCTGTTCATCATGCACGTCATACATCATATGAAGTCCTTGCAATACAGCATGAAGTGTAAATGTTCAAATGAGTTATTATGGTGATGAAAAAGGTGTTTGTAGCTTAAATCACCCTCTTTGTGTGATGCCTTCAATGTCTCACCTGCAGCGGAATTTCGGTTGCTCGGACACCGCACTGGCTAGCTGCCTCCATCCGCAGGTCGAGTTGTCCAACATCTTTGACAGCCCTGTGAGGATTTCTTCACTCAGAGTACCAATGCTCATTTTCCACTCCCCCATCTTCGCATGTGTCGCCACTAACAAACCTGAAGATAAACTGGACCCACAGGAACATTAAAGTGAAACTTCACGCGCTAAAATATAACTGTAACTCTAACGTTACCATCTATATGCATCAGCTCCACGGCGTAGCAAGTGAGACCGTACTGATGACTGACAACAGTAGTGTGTTTGGCTGTTGAATGAATGTCCCACTTGTCCGCCTACACGGGTGGTATTACGGTTTACACCACAAAACAGGTTGTAAACCTGTGTTGACTTTATGAGAATGCGAGGCGCGGAGGAAAATCCGCTTGTAACTGTACACACACACGCACAGCAGACGACAGCCTATTAATCTTATTCAGGAAATTAATCAGGTAGCAGCGATGCTAGAAAATGAAACCACGAGCTGTTTTCAGACCAAATTAAACACCACGACGACGATTAATAACTCTAAGTGCGATACAGCTGGCCGCTTCCCAACACTGACATAGGCTACTGTAACATTTATCAGAACCGTGAAGAAGAAAAGTTTTAACTTACCGACTTTACAAAAAGTTAACTCCACAGACCGGAGATCACATCCAGTTGTGAAACAGGAACAAGTGGCTTTTCAATAAAAACAGACGTGTGGTGCATTTTATCAGTCTTCCGACCTTGCGTGATTTTGTTCCCCAAATGATTTGCTTCTCATTTTGGTTCCTCATTTTTGCAATCCCCCCCGCAGGCTCGAACATTTGCATGAAGCGCTGTCACAGCAGAATATTTATTGAAGCCATCGAATACGGAAATATTTTTAAATATTATCCAATTGACAACCTGGAAACCCCCCAGTTTGGGGGGGGGGGGGGGGTAATAGGTCTGACCTATAAAGTACAAATACATTATTCACTCATCAAAAATTTCACTTCACAAACCCTTCATTGAAGGCTCCTAATTACAATGTGGTACCACATTCATATTATGATAATGTTAAAGCAGAAGAAAATTCACAATTTGCAAGATATTCTGTAGTCATATTTATTCATAATGAATCTGCAAAAACAACAAATAGTGAAAAGGTGATTGGTGGAAATAGGCCATTGTCCTTCTGATATGGACAAAACAGAACATGAAGACATGTACAAATTAATTAAATGCATAGAAAAATCAACTTCAAGGCCTGCTTATTAGTTTTCGATCATATCACGCAATCGTTGAATTCTGAAAGCATACAATTCCATGACAACTAGGCAAAAACCATCTGCCCAAGAAGATTGTGGGATACAATTGAAAGCTCTAGAACAATTACTAAATGGACCTCGGGTTGGAGTTGTCTAACCAACTACTTTAATTTTTTTATTCTCAGTCATCGGAGGACCACTGAATATGCTGCATGGTTTCAATTAACACGGTGGAAGTGGCCAAGAGTTGGTCTGAACATACAGTACACAATGACACGTGGTTCAGTCCACACAGTCTGAAGCAATCCGATGTACAGGGAGAAGCTCTCTGTCAGTCCAGTGAAGGCCTAAAACTTCTTCCCTTTATGCAGTCTGTTGAAACGCCAAATGTTTTCCTTCCTCAGACGCTTCCAGTATTCCCTGGTGTCGGACTCCAGCTCGTGCAACTTTTGGGGCGGTCCTAGGTTCAACTGGAACAACCTGAGTGAATGATAAAAGGAGAGGGTAGTCAAATACGTGAAGACACATCAAAATCAGCTTTGTTGGCCATGTATGTTTATGTATACAGGGGTTTTGATACAATAAGTTTAATACACATGAAAGGACCTTTTCACCCAGAATAAAAAAATTACACAGACAACATTACAAATAATAATAATAATTTATACTGTATTTATAAAGAAAATGTGGAGAATGAAAGCAACAGTGGTGCCAGTAGTAATCGGAGCACTGGGGCCGTTGACCCCCAAAGTGCAGAACCCTTAAACTCCCAGGCCTCTGGTAGAGGACCCGAGCTTGAGGATGACACATACCACCCCACGAAGGGTGAGAGGGGGATTTTTTTAAAATATAAAAGTATAATGTAATGAAACACAAACTATCTTTACCTTTTACCTAGGTCAGTTCTTCTCTGTGTCTCTTATTTTGTCCATATGTAAATGTATATCCATCTAGTGGTGTGTTTGTGATTTTCTGCATTTCCCAGAATGCAATTCAACTACCAAAACATTAAGCTTGGACTGCATTTAGCATGTGTAGGCGTAGAGAGCTATAGAAACAGCGAGAGTCAGTATGTGATGCTTGAAATGTTTTGGATTTACTTACTTCCTCTTATTAGAGGGGGGAATTGTAATTTTCTTCTACAGAAGGACACATTTACTTGTCAATTTCTAACCAGTTTTTCACAACAAATATCTTGAAAATAGGAAAGGAAATCTGGCAAAATTCAGAAAGAGTTAGTTCTACATTATGATACAGAAAGCAGTAGATAAAAAGTGGCAGAAATACAAGAAACATGTGCCCTCACCACTCTGGATATTGATCAGTAGGCTTCAGCTGGGGGTCTTCCCCTTGCTTGAGGATGTTGGCCCCTACTGCATATGAAGTCAGTCTGACAGGGTCTTTACACACCTCCGGACCTTTCAGCTCTTCTTTCGCCATGCCTTTGCCTTTCCCTTTGGCCGCTGCAAAGAACAGGAAAGACATATTTTGTAATGCCAACAAGTGAAAATAGAAAATAAACCACTAATGAATAATGATTTAATGGCATACGCAGACACAGGTGATTTAGGTTACTGGATGAAGTGTGGAATGGACTTAGAGCTGGAATGAATAATGGATTTACATCTTTTTTTTAAAGAAAAATTATTTGATACCAGCTTCTTAAATGTGAATATGTTCAGGTTTCTTTAGTCCTCTATGACAGTACACTGGATAGCTTTGGGTTGTGGACAAAACAAGACATCTGAGGACATCATATTGGGCATTTTTCTGACATTTTACTGATCAATTAATCGAGAATCAACAATGAAAAAAATCATTAGTTGCAACCTAATGGACACAATAACTAAGCAATTATATTCGTGTATTGCCACACCACAACAGCAATTATCCATCCTTTATTTTCCACTCTCAGTCACATAGGCCAAATGTGTCAGCTCAACTCGATACATTGTTTCATAACCACAGACAATTTAAAACTAAAGGGCACTGAGATATATTGAAGAGAGATGGTAGAAATCCTCTTTACTCACCAACTTTCTTAGCATAACCGCATGTCTGGGTTCTGTTTAATATGTTCGTCCTGCACAGCAACGTTGCAGCGCTGGATGTGATGTTTTTCGTTAACGTGACTACCCTAAATAAACTGTAGCCCGACATTTTTGTTTTACTTGTAGGTTACTTTAAAAATGCAGCTCACCATGCTACTGTTTGACATTCATATTTCCTTCGACTTCCGTTTTGTATATGAGAAAATAATGTACTGCTCCTCTCTGGACGGGAAGACACACTGCACCTGAGGCAAGTAGCGCGAGTTGTGTCGTTTCCCTTCAGTCCGACAGGTGGCAGCACAGCGCCGCCGTGCCTGTGTCGGGTACCATAATAACAAACCAGAAGAAAACGGCAGCGAGCTTCTCGAAAATGTCTGAGTACGTTGTGGTCCAGAAGAGCGCCCTGAAATTAAAGGGTGTAGGAGACATTTCAGCTGGAAAAAAGTAAGTCTTGTGGCATCATTTGTTTGGTATTCGCGTTGGAATCGAGAAAAATACTGAACTGTACAGTCGCAAATGATAAACAAAGCCTGGTATTCGGGCGAGGCTATTGTTAGCCCGTTTGCTAACAAAAACACACTAACGTCAACGTCTGCTGAGATCATATGAATGCGATAAAGTAATACTTGGGCAAAGTAATTGTGAAAATAGCATTGTACAGTGAAAAAAAAGCACAGTCCTCGGTGACACTGTACCAGATATGGCTAATAAACAGCAAGGCAGGGTGGTTAGCTACATTAAAGCAACTACAACTGCGTCGACACAATAACGTTACAGGACAACTTTGAAATACTAAAATACTGACAGTTTCAGCCACAGTAAATTACATAGTAAATAGTACAACAAAACGTTCGTAACACAGGTATTCAGTAGGACAAAGAATAGTTCCCCTGTCTTGGATAAAACACTCACATAAGGTCACATGACAAATAATCACCAGTTATTGGGTTTATCCAATTATTAGTATTTAATTGCCTACATTTACTTACTTTCTATTTCCTTACCTGTAGATTGGAGTTGTTTGTCTGACAAGCCACTGTTCAACTAACTGGCGATTGCATATCTTCTATTTCTTCAGGAAGAAGAAGAAGGATAAAGAGAGTAAGCATCGCTTGGAGCAGGTTGTGACCAGTCAAGACAATGAGGAGATGAAATCCACAAAAGCATATATTGATAAAAGGACACCGGCACAAGTTGCTTTTGACAAGATGCAAGAGAAGAGGGTATGTTATACTTCTCCAGCAGCACCATCTTCATCCATAATCCCATATTAGAAGGAGAGTCCATATTTTGACACAATGGCAGCAATGCACCAGCTGTAAGAAGCATACAGGGGGCTTGTTGTAACAACAAACAACACTAGCCTAAAATAGTATACAAAAACGCAATCAGAAAACCGAAAGACCTTTTTGGATAGGAAACTTTCCAGGCACACAGTATTGTCAAATGGATATATTGCACACTTAGCTTTACAACTAGTAATGCAGTAGTTGAACAGAGGTTGTAGATTATTTACCTTCCTGATTATATTAGAGAGAGAGAGATGAAAACTGTGTTTAAAACTAAGCACAGTGGAGTAATCCCAACCTGAAGTGGTTTTAAAATAAACTTAATTAGCTCACCGGTAAAGTTAATGATGTTTCATGGTCTGTTTATTCATCTTCACGTCAAATAATGACAAAGTTTATCAGCCCTTTTCTACTCGAAGGACAGAGTTCATTATTTGAAACAGTGAATGTTGCGACATACTTTGTGTGGCACAGCTGTCGTCACTGACACAGCTGTCGTCACTGACACAGTGTCTTCTTGAGTTTGGGGTGTAGATGTTTTTGCTGGAGGTGTTTACAGTGTGTCTAAACTTACAGTGATCTCTCTTTTTTTCTAAAGCAAATGGAGAGGATTTTGAACAAAGCATCAAAGACACACAAGCTCAGAGTGGAAGTAAGTCATGCCAGACCTGGCATAGCAGCCTTCAGTCAAAGTTGTCGATTCAGACTTGTAAAACAGCACATTTATTCAATATTATTTATGATATTTGTTGACCAACGTAAAATGGTAGTTTTAAAAAGAAATATGCATTAATGTTTGTAGATTACACTGCAGTTTAAATGATTTCAGATTTATGAACAGAGAAATATCAGCAAAAATGTTTTTTTTGTCTTTGCAGGATTTCAATCGCCACCTGGACAACCTGACAGAACATTATGATATTCCCAAGGTCAGCTGGACCAAATAGAAGAGGAGCAAATGTTTTTTTGTTTATCGCTTGTACAAAAATCGTACACATCATGTTTTTGGAATGTGTTAACTGCTAGTTTTATATATTTACAATTAAAATGTGTCCATTTGGCATTCAGTTGCTTTTGTTGTAATTCCTGTATATAATAAAGGATTTGCTTAAACGCATATCTTCTGTCTGTGGTGTTTTGTTTTCTTTACTTTCCATACACCCAGAGCACATCAACTGATATTGCATACATTACAAACAAGCGTGTATAAACAATGTAAAACTATGAAAAGAAACCGGAATATACTTGCTTTTTAATTAATGCAAAGTTAACTGAACTCATGGCACATAATGTAAACCAGAACGTCCATGTTGAATCTTTTGGGATGGCACAGTGTGAACATGTGAACTGCCCTGAAGGTACCCATTAATAGTGGAAAACATGGGGTAGGCAACATTGGAGAACTATATAGAGACAGCTAGATTTTAAAAGTAACCAACAGAAAAACATCCCACTCCCTCCAAAGCCATTCCTTCATAACATGTTTTCATGCAGCGATGAGTGGACAGGCCGTTAGAGTTCGCTGTCTGGATGTAAAGAGAATTTCAGCAAATATAACAAATACTGCTTCTGAAATAAACTGCCTGCCCCAGCTTTAAATGTCAAAATCAACAAGTTGGAGTACAAATACATGCATTTTACTCTTACAGAGAAAAGTTGTGTTGATACTTGTGATGTTGGGCAGCATCTGAAACTACTTTTAAATAAGACATCCTGGAGGTGTATATGTGGAGTAAGAAGCTGGACCAAACAACAGCAAATGATCCTTTTTATTAAGAGATGTTCAGGATTCAGATTGTTCATAAAGTTCCACTGCTCTGATTTAATTGGACATGCTCTTTCCTCCCAAAGAAAATGTAGTTATTTTGTTTTGAAGTGTCCCTCCTGTTGTCAGAGTTCACTTTGGCCCCAGCATCTCACTGGGCTTCACCCACTGGTCAAACTGCTCCTCGGTCAGGTAGCCCAGCTCCACGGCCACGGCCTTCAGCGTGGAGCCTTTCTTGTGAGCCGTCTTGGCGATGGTGGCCGCTTTGTCGTAGCCGATGTGCTCGTTGAGCGCGGTGACCAGCATGAGGGACTCGTTCATGAGCTTGTTGATCCTCTCCGTGTTGGCCTGGATGCCCACCACGCAGTTGTCGGTGAAGGAGACGGACGCGTCGCCGAGCAGCCGGGCCGAGTTCAGCACGTTCTTGACCATCATGGGTTTGAAGACGTTGAGCTCGAAGTGTCCGTTGCTGCCTCCGATGGTGACCGCGACGTGGTTTCCCATCACCTGGGCTGCCACCATGGTCATGGCCTCGCACTGGGTAGGGTTCACCTTGCCTGGCATGATGCTGCTTCCTGGCTCATTCTCTGGTAAGATGAGCTCTCCGAGGCCGGATCGTGGTCCCGACCCCAGGAAGCGTATGTCGTTGGCAATCTTCATCATACTGACAGCCACAGTGTTCAGCGCTCCGCTCAGCTCCACCAGGGCGTCGTGGGCTGCCAGGGCTTCAAACTTATTGGGAGCGGTCACAAACGGCAGGCCTGTGAGAGACGCAACAGTGGCGGCTACTTTCTCAGCAAAGCCAATGCGGGTGTTGAGTCCCGTCCCTACTGCGGTGCCTCCCGCTGCCAGCTCGTACACCCTGGGCATGGCGGCCTTTACTCTCTCAATGCTGTACTTCACCTGCTGGACGTAGGCGCTGAACTCCTGCCCAAGCGAGAGCGGCACAGCATCCTGAGTGTGCGTGCGTCCGATCTTTATGATGTCTTTGAACTCCTCAGACTTCGCAGCCAGGGCGTCGTGCAGCGTCTGCAGGCCGGGCAGCAGGACGTGGTGGACCTCTGTGGCTACGGCGATGTGCATAGCGGTGGGAAATGTGTCATTGGAGCTCTGACTCTTGTTGACGTGATCATTAGGGTGTACAGGGTCCTTGGAGCCTAGTTTTCCTCCTAGGATCTCAATAGCTCTGTTGCTGATCACCTCATTGACGTTCATGTTGCTCTGAGTCCCAGATCCAGTCTGCCACACCACCAGAGGGAAATGATCATCCAGTTTACCTGCTGAGACCTCGTCTGCAGCCTGGATGATTGCATCTGCTATCTTCGGGTTGAGGCCGTAGTCCTTGTTGACCTCAGCGGCCGCTCTCTTAAGGATACCAAAGGCCTTGATCACTTGGATTGGCATTCTCTCACTTGGTCCCCCTATCTTGAAGTTCATAGTGGATCTGACAGTCTGGGCACCGTAGTACTTGTCAGCTGGGACCTTGAGCTCACCAAACGTGTCCCGCTCGAGCCTGTACTCTGAGCTGGCCATCCTGGACGTGCAGATGAGGAGTTTGGAGTTGACGCTGAGACTTTGCAAAGTCAGGAGTTTGCAGTTAAACCGCTGGACGCTTCTCAGAGAGCGAAACATGGCTTCTCATTAGAGGTGAATCCGGTGGGAGGTCAACGCACAGCCTTCCACATTGTGATCCGTCATTGGGTGAATCGGAAACCGGCCGCGCGTTAGCCAATGGTGAGGCGAGAGGGGCGGGACTTCCGCTGTGATCGTCGGATTGAGTGGAAACGATCAGGCTGCCTCATCCGGATCAGTGAAGCTTTTCACAACGTTGCACGAGTTTATTTCCGGTATGAGAACGAAGGAGATTTTTCTTTGTAGTGTAAAAGTCAGTCATTTTACATAATTTTGCAATTTAGAAATCTATACATGTATTTCATCCAACATACCAACTTTTAAAGAAATACAGACATTTCTAACACATATAGATTTTGTGATACTGGCACAGAAACATTGATTGTTATCTGTAATGCTATGAAAAGTTGTTTTCTGTTTCCACATGTATGCACCTCTTCATATTTTATATAATTTTGTACAATCCAAATAAATGTGTTGGGGAAAAGGGACTATAAGACAGTAACACC